GGGCGGTTAGGGCGGGGGATGTGGAGCAGACCGGAGCTAGAGGAACTCACCTCCTGATCTCAACCACCAGCTCGGGTGGGGATCCGTAACTGTCCAGTACTTTGAGATGTCCTCCTGACGTGAAAGGCGCTATACAAGTGTAATTTATTGTTGTTGTAATGTCTCATCTGAAGGATGGCAGCTCAGATAATGCAGTGCTGCCCCAGCTCTGCACTGGAGTGTCAGCCTAGATTATAAGATCAAACTCCCAACATAGGGCTTAAACCCACAACCTTTTAACTTAGTAGACTGTGAAGCGCTTTGGGACGTCCTTCCGACGTGAAAAGCGCTATATCAAATGCAAGGATTATTATTAGGCGAGAATGCTACCAACTTAGCCAGGCTGACACCTACTATACAATTCTTTACATGGCTCCATAGGTTATTGTACAATAACCCCACTATCTTCTAGTAATCCAGTAACCATTATTTCACTAATCTACGGTAGTATTTTACAGCATTAATATGTTTGTTCTTTCAATATTCAAATGTAAAATTTCCTGAGAATAGCTGAAGAAAATACTGTCTGGTCATTACTGAGGTTAACGTGAAGCAAATCTCAAGAGTATACATCACATAAGAGATTTAAACTGTTTTATCTAGATAATTGAAACAGCTTGCTGACAATATTGACAAGAAAATACAGCAACATAAGTCACAATACATAAGCTAAAACAAAACTTTTGACATCATGATGTCAATTAAAGACAATGGGAATGTGCCAAATTGCATGTCTTTTTGTTTATCAGTTTGTAAAGGATTGGGGTATTTGGTTTAAGCTTAAGAAACGGTTTCTTGTCAATCTCCCCAGCTCCACCATTCACAAAGTCCAACTGATTCAAAACCCGCAGCCTGTATCCTCACCCACACCAACCTCCGCACCCCCATTATCCGAGTGCTTGCAAGAGTCCAATGGCTCCATAACAAAATTGATTGATTTCAAGATCCTCACACTCACCCGTTTTATGCCCTGGTACCTCCCTACTTCTCTCATCTGCTTACACCCCTCTACACACTCTCTTTGTCTGAGGTGATATCCTTTAAATGAAACGTTGAACTGAGATCCTGTCTGCTAATCACATGGATGTTAAAGATCCCATGCCGAAGAAAATGGAGTTTCACTGTGCTGGCCAACAAGCCTCCAGATAAAATTTATAATCAATTTCATGGCTGTTTGTGGGACATTGCTGTGAAACAATGTGAAATGTTTCATGATGTGGTAAGGCACCATATCAATTATTACCTATTGTTATAATAATATAACATAATAATCCTTGCATTTTTTCACATCTTCTCGACATCTCAAAGCGCTTCACAGAATAGACTGTAAAGTGAATTGACAGTATATTTGTGGGCAAAATGTGGCAGCCAATTGCGCACAGCACTGTCCCACAAACAGTCGTGGATTGAAAATCACCAATTTGTTATTGTTTTGACTGCAGGAAAACTAAGCTCTACAGGGGTCAAAGACCATATTTGGGAATAAGTTAAAACGTTGGTATTGTGGATTGGTATAGTGGAGTCCTGTAGCTCAGTGGTTAGAGCACTCGCTTTGCAAGTGAGAGACCTGAGTTCAATTCCAGTCAGGGCGAAACCTTGGGTAAGTTTCCTTACTCCACACAAAGCCTAATAATAATCCCTCCAAAAACCAAAAACAATAATAAATTGGTCATTTTCAATCTACGACTGTTTGTGGGACATTGCTGTGCGCAATTGGCTGCCGCGTTCGCCCACAAATATACAGTCAATTCACTTTACAGTGTATTCTGTGAAGCGCTTTGGGACGTCCTCCCGACGTGAAAAGCGCTATATCAAATGCAAGGATTATTATTATTATTATTATTGTGACTTTTACTGTAAATACAATGGCTGAAATGGGTGATAAGGAAGAAGTTGTGGCTAACATGTTGCAGGAGCACGTGAATACCCAAATAAGGTCGGTAACTTGCAAAATAGATTAGGGGGCATAGTGTGCTGGGGTGCAAAGGATAAAAATAAGGGTAAGAACAGGTAAAAGACGGAAGTCTCCGAAGTACGGGTAGATGGAAGATTGAAAACTGGAAGAAACAAGTTTGCATGCAGTAAAGACAGTGCTGAGTTTGTATGCTGTAAAGACACAGTACTGAGTTTGCATGCTGTAAAGAGACAGTGCTGAGCGTGAACCATCCACGGTAGTATTGTTCCATTATAAGATCGATTGATTGTACCTGCCTTTGTTCTACCCATTGGGAAACTGGGGAATAACGATTAATAAAAGTCTAATATCTGGTTGAAAAAGGATGTTGGCTGACTTTATTTCTAACAATAGGAATGCTTACCAACAGCCATGAAGTGCATGACCAATTTTATCTTGGGGATTTTTGCCCAGAAAATCAGAAGAAACTCCCTTTTCTTTTCAAATTGTATCATGGGATCTTTAACGTCCACCTGAACAGGTCCTCGGTTTAATCCGAAGGACAGCACCTGGGTCTTTGTTTTTGGCCGTCTGTCACCTGCGGAAAACCATCACCATGCTTAAGAGGATCCATACCAAGCTGAGATTTCTATGCATCCCACCTACATGTGGAAATCCCAGAGATAGATTGTTGGAATGGAATGCATACTCTCTCCCTGGAGAAACGCATCCTGCTTACCTACTTCCGGAAAGTATTAGGCGCAGGTTGGCAAGAGCCAAGGCTTGGGGACCCCAGAGTGTGCAATGGGGTACTGCTGGAGTCTAACCAGCTAAAAGCCGCATAACTTGCCATTGATACTGCTTCCCCGCTGCTTGTCCTTTAGGGTTTTGGCTTGCAGGGTTAACAGGAGCTGAATGGGATGAGCCCCTAGCCCCAGTGGATGGTCTACCCTTCCAGGTCCTGCCAATTAGCCAGTCTGGCTGTGCTGTCATCAGACGTGGCCACTGTGAAGCTGCCTCTGCCTCCTGGATGCTTGGCGATGTCAGTGTAGGCCAGAGCCCTGTAGCCACTTCCCGTGTTTGCCACAATTTCACCTCACTGTTTGATCCTGGACTTTGCAGATGGGTCCGCTGTATCCCCAGCAGCTCAGATCCATAAAGGAGGACTGGTTATATACAAGGCTTGTATGCCACAAGCTTGACCTGCATCGGGACCTTGCTGTCATTGAAGAAGTATGAGCATGGTCAGAGTACCCTTCCTTTCTTCTCAGTGCATTCTTTCAGGACATTGTCCACAACCCTGAGTGTCATTGAATAGGGTTGATGGCCCCTTTATCTTCCTCAGACCGTGCAGAACCATGATTCCGCACTTGGGGAAATCTACCCCCATGTCCCACTGTACCTTCCTGATCACACCCCGAGCCTCCAATGCATGTGATATACCACACGGAGCACCACTTTAAGAGCCACTGAAATCAGCGAGCTCCCTCTGCAGTTATCGGTCTCACTGGGGTCATCCTTCTTGTGGATAGAGACAATTTAACTCTGGAACACCGACGGGGCGTCTGCCTCAAAGAGAATCCTGTTGGACTTGAGCACATAACGTTCAACCTCAGAGGCCTGACCGCTGCCAGCTGAGCCGGTGTAATCAGTTATGTGTGTTATGGAATATAAATATTCAATGCAGTTATTCCAAATTGCTATTTTTTGCTCAGGAAGTACAGATATGTGGTTTATCGCCAGTTCAGAAATGTAAACAAGCAACTGCAAGAAACCCCCCCCCCGTCTCCCCTACCTCCGCCCGTCTCAACCCTGTCCCCGTCCCCCCCACAGCCCCCCTGTCCCCCGTCTCCCCCACCTCTCCCGTCCCGTCTCCCCCATCCCCCTCACATCTCCCCTGTCCCGTCTCCCCCACCTCCCCCATCCATCCCCCACCGCCTCCCCTGCCCCATTTCCCTCTATCCCCCCCTCATCCTCCCGTCTCCCCCACATCCCCACCTGTCCCCCCCACCCGCCGCCCCACCTCCTCTGCCCCCTGTCTCCCCCCCACCCCCCAGTCTCCCCGCCCCCTGTCTCCCCCCCCGTCTCCCGCCCCCTATCTCTCCCCCCCCCCGCCCCTGTCTCCCCCCCCCCCCTCCCCCTGTCTCCCCCCCCCTGTCTCCCCCCCCCCCCCCCCCCCCCCCCCCCCTGTCTCCCCCCCCTGCCCCGCCCCCTGTCTCCCCCCCGCCCCCTGTCTCCTCCCCCCCCCCCCCCCTGTCTCCCCCCCCCCCCGCGCTCCCCCGCCCCCCTGTCTCCCCCCCCCGCCCCCTGTCTCCCCCCCCCCCCCCTGTCTCCCCCCGCCCCCTGTCTCCCCCCCCCCCTCCCCCCCCCTGTCTCCCCCCCCCCCTGTCTCCCCCCCCCCGCCCCCTGTCTCCCCCCCTGTCTCCCCCCGCCCCCTGTCTCCCCCCCCCCCCGTCTCCCCGCCCCTGTCTCCCCCCCCGCCCCGCCCCCTGTCTCCCCCCCCCCGCCCCCTGTCTCCCCCCCGCCCCGCCCCCTGTCTCCCCCCCCCCGCCCCGCCCCCTGTCTCCCTCTCCCCCGCAGTCCCCACCGTCACCGCTGAGCAAAACTCCAGCGAGTTTCAGACAGAAAGAGCACGTGACCAGTCAGGTTGCCTCCGCCACGCGAGCGGCGCCTGCGCAGAGCGGGTCTGATCTGGCAGTTAACGGAGCCGCGTCAGCGGAAACCGGAGAGAGAGAGAGAGTGTGAGAGAGAGATAGAGTGCGTGTGAGAGACAGCGAAAGAAAGTGTGAGAGTGGGAGAGAAAGAGGAGAGAAAAGGAGAGAGTGAAAACGGAGAGAAATAGGCTCTGGGGGAGAGCGAGGCCCGGCCCGGGGGGGAGAGCGAGGCCCGGCCCGGGGGGGGGAGAGCGAGGCCCGGCCCGGGGGAGAGCGAGCCGGGGGGGAGAGCGAGGCCCGGCCCGGGGGGGAGAGCGAGGCCCGGCCCGGGGGGAGAGCGAGGCCCGGCCCGGCCCGGGGGGGAGAGCGAGGCCCGGCCCGGGGGAGAGCGAGGCCCGGCCCGGCCCGGGGGGGAGAGCGAGGCCCGGCCCGGCCCGGGGGGGAGAGCGAGGCCTGTCCTTGGCACAGACGCCGCAGGTGAAGCCGGAGCCAGAGGCGCTCTGACCCGGGTTTATGCTGCTCTCCAATGGCGGCTCCCGGCACAGCTCCAGCGACGTGGCTTCAAACCCCACTGCCGTGAAGCGATGGACGCGGCCCCGAGAGCAGGTGAGGCCCCCGACAGCCCCCGAGCGCGGCCGAGGAGCTCGTGAGAAAGGCATTTATTTTGCTCTTTCTTTATTTTTTTCCAAAAAAAAATAAGTCTTTGCTTTTCGCCGCGACTGGAATCGGTGGGGGGGGGGGGGGGTTTAAAAAAAATCAAATTAATATGTGGCGAAAATTATTTTTGCTCTCGCCGTGTGCAGCGAGAGCTGGTCCAGCTGTTCGGCATTTAAAATGCAGTGATCTGGCAAAAGATTTTGTTTTAAAAGATTTTTTTGTTTGTTTTTTTGTTTAAAAAAAAATTTCAGAGTAATCCTCTCGTGGTTTTTTTTTTGCCACGTTTCCCATCTGCGACTGTCGAAGGGGATACCATCCAAAGTAAAATCGTGGACGCGTTCACTTGCAGACTTTTCCTGAATTTCCTGCACAACACTTGATTCATTCCTACCATTTTCCTTTCCAGATAACTATGTCAGGGAGAAGTCAGAGAGAACGGTTTCAAGTTGCCACTGTTCCTCCTGCACTGGGAGGTAACCTTTACGTATTTGGAAATAACACGCCTTCGGAAAATGAACTCTCAGAAGAGGACGCCGAGTATTTTGAGCTGCGGCCAAGAGGCAAAGAGAAAACAAGAAAAATCACCTCCAAGGAACGACTGGATGAAATTGTGTATCTGGTCCGAGAAATTCAAGAAGGCGACACCTTGAATGCACTTGCTCTGCAGTACTGCTGTACTGTAAGTGATGATTTGAGTCCTTACGTAAAGGATTGTTGCAAGGAAGAAGTGAAAGGAATGGTAAAGAAAGCTTTAGGCAAACAGGATTATATATATATATATAGCGAGAGAGAGAGTAGGTATAAAAGTAAACGCACAATACGCAATAGGTAAAACTAAAGAGAAAGTTACATTAATTCCACCATTGTTCAAATTAAATTGAAATCCGCAAATGAAAGACAGAACCAGCTTTAAAAGATTCTCTTGGATCTGAATATCTGTGGCTGCAAAAGTATGGCAGCTGTTCAATTTCAATTGTACATTTAGGTAACTCAAATTTTTGAAATGGGTGAAACTTGCATTGTATCAAAGAGCAGAAAGAGAAAGCTTTGAGGTTCTTAGATTTGTAGGTGCAGTGCTTTTACTTTTAACTGAACCAATCACAGGTCCTACCATATTGTTAGAAAACTATTTTAGGAAATAGGCCTCTAATACCAGAGATAAAAGTGGAGACCAATTTTTTTAAATAGTTGTGAAGATTATTAGCTTTTGCACCTCAAATAGATATCTAAAATATGGGTAGGATTTGTGTCATTTTTTGTAATGTATAATATGTATTGGAATGTATAACATTTACATTTCCTTCATATCTTTTAACAGAAACTCTACATTTATTATTATTTATTATTTCATCTTTATTGCTTTTATGAAAAACTGGCATAATTTTGCAATGTTTGATATGAATAATGTACAACATTTAAGAGTTGAATTTCACAATCTGAACTTAAGTATTTTATAAATACACAAGCAATACAGAATCTATTGGGTACTTACAGAATGCTTTATTCAAACCTTTGAATTGTAGGCTTACAAGTGAATTTACTGCATTCAAACCAAGAAGCTTTGATATCTTGAATAGTCACCCTATTATACAGATTTCAGTGCATCTGTGATTTTTTATATATATATTATAAAACTTTTTACATGAATGGAGATGTGGGATACTATTAATAGTACTACATAGCTACTTTGTTGACATGCATCCAGAAAATCACTTGCTCCATAACTGATTAACCAAAATTGGACTTGAATGTGGTGTAACCAATTGGATTTTTCTTGTTGAAGTCTTTCAGTTTTTTTTAAGAGAGTATTTAACCTTGACTGACTGTTCAACTTGATATTGGCATCTCCATTCAGTATTGATTTACATTTTGATTAAAAAAATCATGTTATAAAATCATTTTATAAATGATTTTGTTAAAATAAAGTTAAATGGGGAAAAATTCAAGATGTGAATTTTAATATATTCAATACAGTTTCGATAAGAGTATGACACAAGTCCACTGAAGAGCCAGTCTCAAGCGAATGCTGGCTCCCACGTCCTACATTGAGAACTAACTTGCATATGTTATTGAATCATTTCTTTGAAAATAAGGTTGTATACCCTGGATAAAAATGTCAGTTATTCACATCTTAAACTCAATTAGCATGTACAAAATGAATTTTATTCAGAAACCTAGGAAAAGTAAGGCCATATTGCAGGACATCAACAAAATTCAAAATGCATCAGTCAAGAAGTGTTTGATTTAAAAATCCTTTAATGTAGGAGGAAGTGAAGACTGAAGGAGGTAAGAAGTGTTCTATAGTGTTGTGGCCCAGGGCAGGAATACATTTAGTATAGGACAGCATGATGATGAAAATGGTATATAGTATTTTTGTTCTGAGGTTGTAGTGTATTAAAACTAGAATTCTAACTGTGGTTCAGGATTAAAATGGTACAATCAGAATTCAGTCATTGGAATTGGGCCCATAGAAACTGAAAATATCAAAATAGTTCTTTTTTTAAGCAAGCGTCAAGTTTGTCTTACTTAAACCAAAGAACCTAGCACTGCTCGAGGCAGACAAATAAGGGCTAACTTTTTTGTAATTGACTTTGGGATTTTTGCTTGCTAAACTGTTCAAGATGTATTTTGATGGTGCATTTCCTGATAGTAAATTGACAATTACCCATTGCTCCCTCTAAATCGCAGAGCCTGTGTAAAATCTCAACATTTTGTTTGACCTTCAATTCTCCCTCAAAACTTTTTGCCTGGTTACTGATCAAGTCTATTTTCTTCTGTATATTCCATATATCTTGCCGCTGCCACTGACACAGCCCAAACCCTCATCCAACACCTTTATCACCTGTTCTCTGCTTGGTGACCTATTTTTCATTCTCTGTTTGGTGACCTCTATCCTCTGCAAATTCCAGACCATACAGAAATTTGCCTAACCCTAACCTAAACCTGGCTCCATGAACCCATCAGCCTCATCTTCACCTGCCTTCACTGGCTTCCTATTCCCCTAGCAAATCAACTTTAACATCCTTGTCCTTTCCTTCAAACCATCCTCTCTTTGTGATCTCCTGAGAACTTACACCCCTGACCTTTCCATGCAGTCTGCCAATTCTAGCCTGTTTAATGCCCCCTGCATACTCCATAAATGTAAGCATGGAAAATTTGTAACTGCATGTCCAGTGAAATTTTTTTAAAAAGCTGGGATTTCAGTAAATTGTAATGGTATGTGGATTTTTCATACCAATGTACACTTGAACTGTGAAAAATACCTAGCCCTAGAATTGTACATTTGGTTCTTCCAAATTTATCTCCCAACTGTGTATGTCTCCTCCTGAACTATAACAAAGTGCAGCTGCACAATTGAAATTCTCAGATGAACTTCTTTCATCTGTGAAGAAATGACAATGCACTGTTAAAAGAAATTAGTGTCTTTCTTGTTACTAAATATGTAATTTAATTTTCAGGTTGCAGATATCAAGAGGGTGAACAATCTTATCAATGACCAAGACTTTTTTGCTCTCAGATCCATAAAAATCCCTGTGAAAAAGATCAGTTTATTGACTGAGACACACAGTCCTACTAAACTAAAATTAGTTCCACGTGTTGCCTTAGAATCTAGTTCTCAATTTGAAGAATGCAATGCTTGTCCAAAATCCACATCATCCAGTGGCAATGCTGACAACTTTCTCCGAGAAGTCGATAAAGACATAGAAAGGATAGTGAAATCCACTGACACTACGAGGGAACATTTAAATGAGGTGGTTTCATCTTTGTCCACTCAACCGTCTTATCAAATACCAGCTCGCAAAATCTTACCACGTAAAGATCCTCATTATGGAGCTGACTGGGGAATGCGATGGTGGAATGCAGTAATGATAATGTTAGTAGTTGGAATCGTTACACCAGTGTTTTATTTGCTATACTATGAAGTCCTGGTTAAAGTTGAGACAAGCCATCATTCTACTATGGAATCTACAGACCTTCCTGTTACTCAGCCTTCACATCAAGAGTTGAAGTATGCATATGAAATAAATCCTATGAAAAGAACTAGTGTGGCTGCAGAGGAGGCTGTTGACCATGTAAATGCAAAAGTACAGACATCTGTGAACTAATTCCAAATCTCTACCAGAGCACTTGTGTGGAGGAAATAACTTCTAAATATAAGGGGGGGAAGGAAATATAATCATGTAAGAGATTATTTTGTGTTATGGAACTTCACTTAATGTGTTTTACTTGCCACTACATTCAAACGATTTAAAGTGATTGGAATTTTGTGAACGGCAATAGTGATTTCAAGTATTACAATTACATTACCAAGTACCCTCAGATATTTAGGATTAAACTATTTTGTTATTTAACCAGTGTCTCTTTTAAATTAGTGCATATAATCTTTATTTCAATGAAATTTCTAAACATGATCCTATACATTTTCCAATTCCATACCAACTTTCTAGGGGAAAATACACTGGTTAGTTTCTTATAAATTGCTTTTCCATCAGTATTTATGATCTAAAGTTTTAACGTCATGTAGCCTTTATGTAATTGATAGCCATTGCTTAAAATATTAAGCCTTTCATTTTTGTGTAAAATATTAAATCTGGAGACTGTTAATTGTTCTTGAACTGTATGAACTTGTATGCCACGATGATGGCTACTTGCTGCAATTAGTTTTTTCTCTGCAGTTCAGAAATATCTGCTCAGTGAACTTGTTCAAAATGCCACTGTTCCAACCTGTTGTCTTAATTTAGTTACTGTAAAAGGGTGGGAAGAGATTCTGCTGCCTAATTTGTACAGTTTTTAATATAAAGATGTATTTATTGAATTTTAGGGCACTTACTATGGCTGGACATTTTGCAAAATTGGTTGTATTCAGGTGGTGAAAATGCAGTATTAACTGTTATTCTTGCACAGTAAAGGCTGGGGAATTGTAATTCTGAAGGAAAGAATCGATCTTATGTTGAGGATGGTATTGCAAATGCAAATGAGCTAGTGCATTGAGATTGCTATGTTAATTCACTTCAGTTCTATTTTCCTAAAAGCTTTGTAACAGAATGATATTCTTCAGTAATTTGCCCTTTAAAATAAAAGATGAAACAACTGTACATGTATTGCACATGTGTGTTGAACTGATCTATAGCTACACATGTCCTTTGGATTACTGTTTATTCAGGTGATGTCAAAGATCTCACTATTCAAAGAGAAGTTACTCCCAATGTCCTACTTAAATAAAATTGGTCATTTATTTCATGGCTAAGTGTGAGACTGCTGTACACAAATTGGCTGCTGAAACAGTAATCACATCTCAAAAGGCTAGGTACTAACTTTAGTTTTTGGTTGTGGTATAGACACAGTAGCCTAAATGACCTTCTGTATTACATTTCTACTATTTAAGGAATGCTACTTGTAGCATTCTCCAGATATATGGTTTTATTTTGCTCAGGGTCTTAGCACCAGTATTTAGATGGGATTTAAATAGAAATAGGATATAAACAGAGTAAGTTAGGGAAGAATGATCTTGCAATTTTTTGTTTTGAATATTTGCTTAATATTTCAATTGATCTGCTTTGGAAAGCCTAAATTTGCTTCAGGCCAATCCAGTCTGAAAGCAATATTGAACAAAAAAGACTAGAATTTAGAAAATGTAATCATGCAAACAATTGTTGTGGTTTAGAATCTACACGTGAAAGGGCAATGCTCGGATCGCAAGAGGAATTAACTTACCTGGAGAAGATCCCATTTGTTGCCATTCTTCAATTTTTTTCTCTATATCTATGAACATATTATCTGGCTTCTCCCCCTTTCTGATGTTCTCCCCCTCTCTAACCTTATATAGATTTCTAATAAACAGCTTTGTGATATCGGCTCACTGTTGTGCTGTGCGGTTAACTAGGCTTGCTGGCCTTGTAACCTTGTGTATTGCTCGCAACTAATATTTGTGCCCATTTGAGGGAAAAATGGGGACATGTAGATAAACAGTGCTTCACTAAGAAATGCAGCAAAATTAAAAACAATTTATCAAGCGTTAGGGATATTACAGTATTACAACTACCAAAATTTAAGTAAAATTGTTTCCAAAACAAATAATGTATTAATTGGCAGCAATACTCTGAATTCCATGGTGATTACAATAATTGGAGAAGTTTTCAGAATTTCTTTAAGCAAAAATAAGTTAAGACACAAGCACCCATGTATTAATACAAAAATCAAAAAGAAACATGACATTTCAGTTGATTCATATTAATGTACAACTAATATTTATAATGATTAACAAAATACCATTAAAAAGTTAAACGTAAAATACACACTTTTGCTTTAAATATGACATTACTAATAAATTCTTATAGCTTTGATTGTAACCATGTTTTGTTTATACAGTGGCTATACAGCTCATTATGGAACACAAAGCTCCATTTACACTTGCCGTCGTTTTGAATCGGGACTGGGAAAAACATTAATCCCAGCATACACAGAACACCAAAATCGGATGCTTGTGTTTTTAATAGCAGTATTAAAAACCAATTGTGAAAAACAGGTCAAAAATATTTGGGTTGTCCTACCAGAGCTTTTAGAAGACAAAGTAAGGAAAAACGCCATGTGATTTGTATGCCCCATTTCTATAGTGCATGGATGTAAATCATGTTGCTCCACCTTTCAGGTCATTTAGGAAAGCGGTTACAGTAACATTTTGAAAGTCGAAGTGCCTATTTATATTTGCACAAGGTGGCAATTTGCCATTAAATATCCAGCATAAATACAATTTTAGACAATGGTATTCAAGCAACAAATCTACTGTTGGCTGTTTATAGATTTAGGTTGGAATAGGAAACCAACCAAGTGCCACTTCTCCCATTGCCAATATAACACTGAAGATATTCATATCCAGTACTGATAGATTTGAAAATTTCTGTCTGTTCTCGAAGGTAGTGATGCTCAGATCCCTTTAAGAGTTTATAGAAGTTCCAATTGCTTATCAGCATTGTTACACTCCCTCAAACCATTAGCGCAAATAAACAATTACACTTTTGGGAGCCTGGAGTTCTGTAATACCTGAGAGCTTATATTTGTACATTCACAACTTTAGAGGTAGGTTACATGCCTTGGTAATGGAAGCAGTTGGCTTCTGTAAACATAATTGCATTTTTTGTAATATTCTGCTTCATACAGCTATTTAACTCAGTACAGTTTGTTGGAATTTGCATAAATAATTATTCAAACTTGTTGCTTGATGCGCTTCCTCAGACTACCCGTTTATAACTGGTTGAAACTGCAGTCTAGTATCCAAACTAAAGGACTATCAGCTGTCTTCTATTGTTCCAAAATCATAAGAAACACTGAAGACTATAATGATACTTGACCATTATTTAAAAGTTATTTTGAATTATGGTCTAGCAAAGATAATTTACCACTTACTTATACTGTTGGTTTTAGCTTCTTGTGACGTTTCTTCTGATAATTGTTCCATTAAAATATAAATGGGATTCATCATATGTTCATCACAAAAATTGCAATCCTTTAGTTATGCATATGGATTTATAATTGGAAATGTGTAATAAAAAGAACACTATTTTAAGAGATCAGCATAAGCTATGTCTTTGCTCCAAACTTTAGACATCAGTGCATTGAAACAATTACCTGCCCTGTTGTAATTACTATAGGTTTTTTTTGTTGAACTTATCTAAACTGAATCAGCTCTCAAGTATACTTTGGAATTAGTTTCGCTTTGGAATTGTAATTCAGATATGAATTCCTTTCCATGTGCAAACCCCATAGCTGGAGTTACCTGAGGAACATTTAAATGCCATCAAAGAAAAGGCTGAAATCCTTTCACATAGTACAAGCAGTGCTAGTAGGTAGCTTCATCCATCTCGTCGTCACTGACTCCATAGTCCCCTCCATCGTCAAAATAGGAGGCAATGTAGTCATTTTCCTGAAAGCAAATGAAATGTCATCACCTGAGTTTAATTTCTCCTCTTCCCTTCCCCACCATATTCAATATATATTGAAGAGAGTTTTAGCAGAAAGCTCCAACACTTCAATAAGTAGCACAACAGTGTGATTCACCATGGCTATTGACAGCCCTGCTGGTAAGTTCCATTGGCCAAATGGCAAGAGAATATAAACAAATGTTTCAGAACAGAAACCTAAAGATGTACTGAACATTGCATATTATTATTTTTCTTCTCCACTATTGCCCAACATATTAAAATGTCTTGCATTGATGCTCTTGACCAGATCACTGAAGCAAAACTGAGCAGCTCAGGAAGAATCTTATTTCCTCTAGGAGTGCATCATAACTACAACATATGAAATGCTAGACGATAAAAGACCAAGGTCCATCTAATTCGCCTTCCTGGCAGTCGCATGCACATATGTCCCAAACTACCTGTGTACTATATCCCATAATGTTATTTTCTAAAAGAAAACTATCTAATCTGTGTTTGAAAGAATCAACATTTTGTGTTTGAACCATTTCCCTCGGGAGCCTGTTCCACAGGTTCACTATTCGCTCAATGAAATAGTGTTTGCGTAGATTTGCTGAATTTCCCCCCCTTCAATCACAGGTCGTGTCCTCTCGTTTTACTATTCTGTACAAGCCTGTCATCATCCATATTTGTCTTGCCCCTTTAGAATCTTAAAGATAGCAATCAAGTTGCCTCTCAAACTTCTCTTTTCCAGTGTGAACATGCCCAATTTACTTAGTTGCTCCTCATAATCCAGTCCCTCAATCATTTTGGTTGCCCTCCTCTGCATCTTCTCGATTTCTCCAATATCCTTTTTGTACTGCAGCGACCAGAACTGTGCAAAGGACTCCTAAGTATGGTCTCACCAATGATTTATACAGGGCAGGTTTACCCCACTATTTCGGCTTGCTATTGATCTTTTGCTACAACCCAACACATCTAGTTTGCTTTACTCACTGCCACAGAGCATTGGTAGGAGATCTTTAATTTGTGCTCTATTAAACCGGTTAAGGTTGGTAATTCATCATGCAAGAGAAACACAGGTGCAAGACCCAATTCACCACCTAGAACTTTTATAAGTACGTGGGAAACTATTTTTTGATTTCTACTTACAAACATAAAGCAAACTATAGTAGTATTTTCATAATATTAATATAAAATGCAAGAAATGTGAGGCATAAAACTAAAACCCATAGAACATTATTCTCTTGCATTCCTTCCCATTACTTCTAAATCTCAATAATACCTCTTCCAATTCTTCTTCATTATATTCTTCCACTTCAGCTTCTTCTCCCTCCTCATCCTTGTCTTTCTCCTTCTCTTCAGTTTCCTCATCAGATTTTCCTTCTGCATCTTTTTTCTCTAAAGCCTAAAGGAAAAAATAAACAAAATTGTTTATTTGATAGAAAGAAATGTGCAGGGCCTTATTGTTAAAATCTTATTCACAGTTTTGAGTCAGATAACAGCCTGATTTTCTCTTCGGTCAAAAATCTTGGTTGTAGGATATTGCAACATTGTCACTCTGGTTCAATTGGTAGAACTCTTGGTCTGAGATAGAAGATTATGATAATTCTTAATAATGCTCGCATTTTATATAGTGTCTTTACCACATCGTAGAGACATCCACTTCAGGCAAATGCAGCAACCAATTTGCACACAGACTATGGTTTCAAGCCCTACCTAAATTGGGACTTTGAACTCACATTCTAGGCTGACACTTCAAAACAGTGGTGAGGGAGCACTGCATTGCCACAATTTGCATGAGACATTAAACCAAGGTCCCTTCTGCTCAGGTGGACATTAAAGATCCCATATCACAATTTGAAAAGAGAAGGGAGTTTCTTTCTGTGTCATGGTCAACAATCACCCAAATTGTTCCATTCACTTCACTTCGAATTGACATAGAATTTGTTGGAAAACAAACCAAGCACATACTAAAGAGGCACAAGTTACAGCAATCAGGTGTTAGGTGGAAGCTGCAGTATTTAAATGAAGTATTTTGAAACACATCATACTTGCATTCTAAAGATTTTTCCTTCAGAGACTGAAGTGCTCTCTGCTACATCAGATAAAATTCATGAAATTCAACAGCACTGTTTGAATCATTGGATATTACCAAACCTCATTTTGCAGTTAATTGCAAAATATCAACCATTTTATAAAAGTCACTGCCGAACCGAAAAGACTTTCCATCTTGAGAGTACTCCAGGCTCGTGAAATGGAGGACAAAGTCAAGATATAAAATATGAAAAGTATAGAATTTCAACTAAAACTGAAGTCAGAATCCATTATAACACTGGTTTGGGTTTGTAAAACACACCCCACATTATAACAGGTCACACTATACAGTGGCCACTGACATCACTTTTCGATCATTGGGTCACCTGGGGTCACCAAACCACGCTGCATACAAGAGGCCAGCAAACACTCTTGCAAATGTTCCCACCGATTGCTGAGCCAGAGGGCCCTTCTGTGTCTGTCTGCTATACGGCAGAAGATTCATGGGAGTTATATATGGACCCACAGAAGACCAGAGAATGGTATAACAAGCTCAGACTGTATCAGACTTAAATTCCGAATTATGCCCTTTACCTCCAGTGTCTGTATAACATCCTCATTAGCAACTGTGGCCGTAGGTTTCTTAATATTAGAGTCTGCGGCTGGCTTTGTACTGGGTTCTAAACAAATGCAAAAATGGAGAGGAAACAGCATCAATTAAAAAACTGCTTTACAAGATTCATCAAATTCATAAATGGTAAACATAAGAAATGCATATAATGAAAATTTCAGAGTACCACTGACACAAGTGTATAGACACGTCTTTCATTATGTCACTCACCAGTCGCTGAACTCCAAATAGCTTGCTTACTGAACCAATCATTTCACCCTTGCTTACTCTAGTTAACATTTCCCCAACATAACAACAATTTGGTATTGATACGTTGTGATTAACAGCCTATTCTAAGAAACGTGGGTTTCATTTGAAAACCTCTCAATGCATCCAAGGTCCTTCATGGGAAAATCGTTTGGCCAATTTAAGCAAAAAAGGTGAAGCAAAGTCCTGAATTTACTTTGGTCGTTTACTTGAAACTTGAGAATATAAGGAGACTTTATCCTGTACTCCAACAGATACTAGTCAATTGCACATAGCAGTGTCCCAAAAGGGGTGGGGGGAGAAAGAGAAAGAGAAAGAGAAAAAAAGAAGAGTATGTACAAATGTTAAACAAGCAACAATCGTGACTGGATCTGACCTTCAGTGTCTGTATTGAAGTGCAGCTGTCTAAACATTAACTCCTGTGAGAAATAAAAAATTCTACGTACACTACAAATTATCCTGACTGAATGTCTGTCCGACATCAAGTCTTGAATGAAAACTAACTTAGTTGAACGTCAACAAGACCGAGGCTCTCCTGATTGGCTCCTGTCAGCGCCTCCTCACCTCAGGCGCTGACAGCATCACCATCTATGGATGCACACTCCATCTTGCTAAGCCAGGCCGGAACCTTGGGGTCTTGCTCGACTCTCAACTATCCTTTCTACACCACATCTGCACCATGACCTGCTCTGCTTTCCCCACCTCCGCAACATCGCCTGGCTCTGCTACTGTCTCACACCGCAGGTCGCTGAAGCCTTCATACATACTTTCATTACATCGAGGCTTCACTATGCAAACTCATTGCTTGTCGGCCTCCCCAATTCCTCCCTCCATAGGGTGCAGATCATCCAGAACTCTGCAGCCCGTGTCCTCTCCCGCACTAGGCTCCACCACCCTATCAATTCCATCTTTACCCAACACCACCGGCTTCCCATCACACAGAGGTTACTGTTCACGATCCAGGTCCTCACCTTCAAAGCCCTCCATGGTCTTGCTCCCCCATACCTCTGCGACCTCCTAACCCCCTACCACCCTACTCGCTCCCTCCACTCAGCGGGCTCCGGCCTGTTTCACGTCCCCCGCTTTGCTCGTCCCACTATTGGCAGGCGGACCTTCCGCCACTCTACCCCCACCCTCTGGAACTCCATCCCGCAGTCCCTTCACCTCGCCCCCTCCCTTCCACCTTCAAGACCCATCTCAAGACCCTCCTCTTCGACTGTGCTTTCGACCTCCCTGCTTCCCTCCCTGCCCTCAAACCTCCCCGACGTTGACCCCCAGCTCGGGTCCGTAACTCTGTCTGTCCAACATCTTGGGATGTCCTCCTGATGTGAAAGGCACTATACAAATGTAATTTTGTTGTTGTTGTATACACGTCATATAAGTAACACCCAAAAATGTCTTGCCATAACATCTGCCTATCACTCAATAATGGTTTCAAATACTCCTCATTGTCAACTGACAAGACTAGTCTTAAAAACTCACATCTCTAGGTAAAAGAAACATGGCATATTTCAAACAATGGATTCTCATGAAGTTATAACCTTAATGCACAATAAAAATAATATTTATGCTCTGCCTTTGCTAGCAATCTGTGGGAGTAAAAGGATTTTAAGATCATGTTACCCAAACAGGTCACGCAACTAAAAATATTGCAATATTCAGTAAATTCCCATTTGTAAAACTTCCTCTTGACAATACCATGTTGCAAATCATACTTACTTGTTTTTTTGACCTTTTTAGTTTTAAGCTTTTTAGTTCTTGGCTTTAACTCTGCTGGTAGTAGTCTCCAATCTACACAATTAAGTTACAGTTAACATTTCACACAGGACATAAAACAACTACAATGCGCAACACACAAAGCGATGTCAGAAACAAGCTGATGACCCAGAAGCTGGCCATTTTTATTTAGCACTGAAAACCCCAGCCAGCACTCAGGAACCATTCATGTGTGCAGTGAGTGGCTATCGTAGACTTATATCATACATCACATCTATCACTTTATAACAAGACTGCACTTGTAATCATTGTATGCCACAATGTAATTCTAGCAGATATTCAAAAGATGAATAAGTCTCTATCCTACCCCAGCGTCAGCTTTAGCGTATCAGGTCGCATTTCATAACTGCACAGGAGGAAATTGTAATTTTATAAATCAAAGGTGTGTCAGGTAGAGAGTTTCAGAAGAAATGAAACAAGCTAGTTAATAGGATTTTATCATCTTAGGGGTCAAAGCTGAAGTCTTCTTGGCCCATTTGGGGCCAAATGGCCAGAGTAGCTGAAACCCTCATCCATGCCTTTGTCACTTCCCAGTTAGACTATTCCAATGCTCTCCTCGCTGGTCTCCCCAGTTCCATCTTACACTAATTCAAAACTCCGCCACCCAGATACTTACCCGCACAAAACTCCATACTACCATCACACCAAGCCTTGCCGGACTCCACAGGCTCCCATTACCGAATGGATCGATGTCAAGATCTTTTCACTTGTTTTCAAATCCCTTCATGCTCTCGCACCTCCCTAACTATCCAATTTGCTTACGGCCCACTCCACCACTGACTGCCTCCGCTCGGCTGTCTTCAGCCATTATGCCACGAAACTCAGGAACTCTTTCCCTCAATCCCTCCATCTTCCCCCCCCTCCCTCCCCACTTTCAAATCCAGCCTAAAGACCTTCTCTTTTGATCGTGCTTACGGTCACCTCCCCACTTCCCTCTTGCTCGGGGTCAGACTCCGCCACTGTCAAGCGCTCTGGGACGCTACCCGGTGTGAAGGGCGCTATATAAATGCAAGTTATTTTTGATTTATTTGGATCTATTTATTTGAGGAGGCTGATCAAAGTGGTTAAACTTATTAAAGGGCGAGACAAAATAAGCATGAGCAACGTTTTTCCCAGTGAGTTCAGTTACAAGAAGACATAACCTTAAAAATTATGGCACAACTTGAGACGAGGAGAACTTTCTTATCGCAGAATAACAACAATCTGAAATACATCGCCCCAAAGATAAATGAGAAATCGGATGAGAGAGAGATAGTTAGATAGTTACTTGGGGAATAAAAATTTAAGGGAGATGTTAGGATTGGGGAGTGGGGGTGGGTGGGTGGAGAGGGGAGAGCTGTAGTTCACAGGCCCTTGGAAGGTCTATGGCAAAACAGCCTCCAGGGGCCAAATGAACTCCTCCTATTCCTAATTTCCTATGTACCATCAAGCCCAAATCAATAGGATCTAATTGATTCCCTTATCACCATCTTGTAATAGTCAGTAGTTCAGTAGCACATTTGAAATCAGAGATGCAAATCATGGAGTCTGTAGGGAAGCTTAGGGAATATATATATATCTCACAGGATAGATTTATAGATACCTGGTGTCCAATTCTTGTTGGGATCTTTAACTTGATACTTCTCTGTATATCTTTCAACATCTGAATTTAAAAAAAACATGTTAATCTTTTTGACAGCAACCTCAGTTCTACTGTAGATCTTGCCATTTAAATCCTTAGCTTTATTCATTTATTTAAGCAACAGAATTAAAATGATACTTCAACAAATCTAGACTTCTTCCTTTATTAGTTCACTGGAACATGAAACAAAAAAACTTTTTTTTAAGGTTTCCACTCGATGTTCTTACCAAATCAGCCTACAAGCATCAGAACATCTCAAGTCCTTCAAAGTAATTAATGCCATATGGAATGACTGGCAAAATCCCATAAACTGCCATTAAAGCAAAGGGGATAATGTCCCTAGAAAAGCAAAGAGGTAATGTGAACTAACATTTTTACACATTTGCCCAGTTTTAGTAAAAATATATTTATTGCAGTGTTCAAGTAACAATATTTGATAACGCGACTTATAACTAGGTTTCTGGTTTGTAATTTTTCTTACATCTCTGCCTTTATCCAGAGTCGGGCACCACCTTTCCCAACTTAATGGCCACAAGAGTCTAATAATTTTCTACATTAGTACAAATCCACAAAAGAACTGTGAAAAACACATCTTCCTCCACGTTCATTTTGACTTTCTGACAATCAGGCAAGCATCATTCACAAATTAAAGATGGGTGACACAGCTAAAGCTGCAGCTGCAGATTCATTAGCCTGATATCAATGTTAATTGGAGAATTAATGGAATCAATAATCAGAAGCAAAATGGAAGCATAGCCATTTGGAAATACAAAAAAATAAAAATGACAGCCAAAATGGCTTTGGAAGAGGCAGATCTTGGCTGATCAACCTCAACACTTAAGGAGGTGACAAGCCAAACTGACAATTCACTATGCCAAGGCATTAGCTAAAGATTCAGTCGGGAGAAGGGCAAATTAAGGACAGACACCAAGAAGGGTAATTTTTAAACACAGAAAAGAATCAATAGTTGAAAAGTGTTACCAGAAAGGGTGTCAGAGACCAGGACATTAGAATGATAGGTCAGTATACTGGAGAGATTAAATCATTCAAACCTCTTTTGTGAACAAACAATTTTTGTCTTGAATTATCAGATACCAATGGGGAAGTGGGATAACAATTAAAAAATGATTTCCTACTGCTACATAGAAGCGTTTTTAAAAACAACTTTGGTAGGGCAATGGAATTAAAATGATAGACCTGAGCTCTTACAGGATGTACTTTCATCTTTAGAAATACTACTCTTCAATCTAGAACTTTCTAAATAAAAATGAAGACAACCGTTGTGTAGCCCTTCGTGAATAGCCTTGGTGTGCAATTATTCAGCAGACTCTATATGTTACCTCGCTTTACAGTAGCAACTTCAATGAAGTAAGGCAATTTCTTAGAGCTTCCCCTCAACTCCTGCTTCAAGGCCAGCATGTAGTTTACATCTTCCCCTGTATTCAAGGGGACAGTCTTAAAATCTGTGGGCTAGATGGTAACATAGGTTATCACGCAGTGCAGACATTAGGATCACTAATACAGCCGACTCTAGATACACAGCCCAGACCATAAAATGACTGCTCAGTATCCAACTTGTAAAACACCTGATGTACTGTACAGTACTGAACAGTTCATTGCTATTCTTTTTAAACTTGGAGATTGCCAGTCTTGTTTTTCTGACCTCCGCAAGCACTGGCTGAAAATGCAATCACCTTCAACCCTCAACCCACGCTACTTCAGCATACTACTGAAGTGTATATGCTGAATTCCCCCACACTAGAAACACACCCTATCTGTCACAAAGTCAGAGCATTTGACTTTGCTCTTGACAATACCAGGAAGTTACTGCCCCCGCACACAAAAAAGGCTTAGAAATGCTTTCAGAACTGCTTTGCATTTACCATGCCATCCAGTATACCTGGGAAAGATGCTGTTTATAGAGATTTAGGAACATGTTAGCCATAGAGTTACAGGAAGTTGATGAGGCCTGCCCGAGTACAGTGGGGAAAAGATTCCCTTAAAAAGAAAAATATGCAATTCAATGTGGTATCCATTTGACTTCTTAAAAGTTACAAAGACTAATTAAACTTGAAATGTTTCACAAAGTCCCAGATAATATTGACTGGTCAAATAAACTGCAAACCATGACAAACTCTATTCCCCAATGACTCAGTTCTTACAGGAAATCCCTTATTGCAAAAGGGATTAAGGAATATGGGGATAAGGCAGGGTTAGGTTATTAGCTGGAGTTAGATTAGAAGATCAGCCATGATTGAATAGCGGGGCAGGCTCGAAGGGCCGAATGGCCTACTCCTGCTCCAACATGTTATGTTATGTTATGAAATGTCAATGCCTAGAATTGAGGATCTGAAGCAGAGCAGGGCTTGAAAACCATTGACCACTATTTTTTCTTCATCGCTCCTATTCTGACCACCATCTGTCTCCGCACCCCCCAAAAAACACATAAGTGGGTATTTGCATCCAGAAGTCTGCAGATAATGGAGGTTGATAGGAACATTCGAATCACAAGTTCTCAAAGCCATATAATTTGTTTACCCACTTCATAAAATAATAATCCTTCTATTTGATACGGAGCCTTATCACGTCTTCTAGGCATCTCAAAGTGCTTCACAGAATATACTGTAAAGTGAATTGACTGTATAGTTGTGGGCAAAATGCATCAGCCATTTGCACACAGCAGTGTCCCACAAACAGCCGTGGATTGAAGTGACCAATTTATTATTGGGTTTTTTTTCTTGAGGGGTTATTATCAGATGTGTGGAGTAAGGAAACTTGCCCAAGGTTTTGCCCTGCCAGGAATTAAACCCAGGTCTCTCGAGTGCTCTAACCACTGAGCTTCCACTATGTGAAGATCGTCCATGAAATAAGTTAGATCTGATACCTTTTAGCACGTGTTTATTTTTCCTAATGGCAGAATCCTTTATATAACACACTGGTTTATGCCCTATCTTCAGGTTTTCAGTGCCTTGGGACATCCTCCCAACATGAAAGGCGCTATACAAGTGTAATTTTGCTGTTGTTGATGTTTGAAATTATCAATGAGGATCAACAAGGTGTAAAAGACTTTTGTTGACTCTAGACTTTAATGTAATTGTATTCAGAGGGTGCTACTATTTGAAAAATAAAAATAATACTACTGTTACTAATCTTGATAACTAATCAAGCTCATCAGGATTTACCCAGCACCTTGGGACATCCTCCTGATGTGAAAGACGCTATATAAATGTCATTGTGTATTGTATGTTAAGACTTTAAATTTAACAGCAGCAACTACTGGAATCAGTAGATGTGTCTTTTGTGATCTTGACGCAAGTTTTCAATTTAAGGATAAGACAACAACTTGCATTTATACAGTGCAATTCATGTAAGATAACGGCACTGAGAACCTCACAGGGGTCAGTGTTACAGGCCCAGCAACAACAACAACAACAAGATTCCATTTATAAAGCACCTTTCACGTCAAGAGGACGTCTCAAGGCACTGCACAGTTGGGTCAGGACCCGAGCAGGAGGAAATGGTCAGGGGGAGGGAAGGGAGGGAGCGAGGAGGGGGAAGAGAGTCGAGAGAGGGGAGCTGAAGGCTCGGTCAAAGAGAAAGGTTTTGAGACCGGCCTTGAAGGAGGAGAGGGAGGAAGCAAGGCGAAGGCACTGGGGGATGGAGAAAGAGCAAGAAAGGGAAGGAAGGTTATATAAAACACTGGCTTTTGCTTTACTCCATGCTGCAGTACCACTGAAAAAATGGCATATACACAAGTACATTCCGAATATTTGTGTAGCTTTATTGGGAGTTTTTGGACATGCTCAAATCATTGAACATCTCAGAAAGTTTAGCTGCAGCACCACCTGTTGGCCATTGCAGCAAACATACTGTTATTGCATCAGTTTTATTTGCTGCAGGATCAACTTTTTTGCAGTGGATATTTTCAGTTTCACCTTAATTCTCAATAAATGTTTCTGAGAATCAGGATTATCAAGATGAAGCTAGGTTGACAGTCAAATCACTGCAGCTTCTTGTGACAAAAACTGGTGAAGTCTCCTGCACTGGTTTATTCTGCAATGGTTCTGCACTACCCCCAAAGGGATCGAACTATCATGAAACCCACCCGAATTTTTAGAGCAAGTCAAATTCTCTCGGGGTCAGAATAGAAATATTGCGCAATTTTAAGGAAATTATTGTTCTTGTCACCAAACTTTCCCCCAGTGACTAGAGGAAAATTGTCTTTGCTAACCTGTATAGAGTGACTCATCCATTCACAGCCAACCAGTGGCCAAGAAAAGATGGCGGTGTCTGCCTTTGGTAGTAGCACAGACCGTGATTGAAGGCACAACCTCTTTAGGTCAATCTCAGGCCCTTCAGAGAGAACAGCGCTAAAGTCGGTAAGGGTTTTTGCAAGACAAAAGCAGCAATAAAAGACACTTCCCCATTGTAACAGTATAAATATAGAAACAACATTAAATTCACAAATGCTTCCCAGCTTACAAAGCCTGAGCTTACTGAGACCATCCTAACTGTGTGAGATAACCAGTCGTATTCAACTAACCGCACAACAGTGGACAAGTTAGAGACGGCGAAAGTTAGTTTTATTATTCCTACATTTTTAGATTTTAAATAACACCGTCGTTAAATATAAACGGTCGCGGATATTTTCCCCTTCCTCATATTAACCGGGCAAATAATTGCCATGGGGAGGGAGGCAGAAGAGAAGCATTTGATTGTGATATGAGATGCGAGCCACAAAATAATTGACATTCGGTGACAAATAGATCATTGCCTTTCTAGGAAGACAGGGTCTTTAAAAAGCTGATGACAGGTTCATACTTACTGGAAACAGTGGCCTGGGCTGAAATGCAATCTCAGGCAAAGACTCGCCTCTGGAAAAACCAATCTCCTCGATATTAAAGGTGAATTGTGCTCTTCCACGTCCACGTCCTTTTCCAGCCATTATAACTCAAAACTTCCTACACACACACACACACACACACCACAACAACAACAACAACAACAAAAAGGTTAAGAGGGGAAGAAAGAGCCCCTTCTATTAACTGCATAACAACACTTAATAAGACAGCCTGTTTCTCTCAACTTGGCTGGTGTCTCAGGCGCTGGCAGTGAGGAAGGAGTGTGTGGCTGATGCAGTGAATGCTGCAGCCTGAGAGCAGCACAAGGGACAGACCCACCACACCCCACCACACCCCACCTGCAGCCAACTCCACCATCTTACTTTAAAGCCACCAATCCCGAATAAAACTACACACTTCGGGGATTTATACCATTGCCCTCCCACCACACACCCCCACACACACACCCCTCCTGCCTCTCTCTCTCTCCCCCCTTCTCACTCCAGTCCCCAAGACAACGCCTGAGTTTGGATTGAGAGGAAGTTTGTTTGCTGACCTCCTGGTGCAATGCCTTGTCCGAGGCTGTGTGTGGGCTGACTGACTGCTCCCCGGCTGTTTTGCAGGCGTTTCTCACTCGCTGCCGACCGGCACTCTGCTCACTTCTCACCACCTCCACCACCACCACCAGCCTCTCACACAGCACCAGTCACCGGAACTGCTCACAGAGCCACAGCCCGACTCAGCACTGCTGCCTGAATCCCTGCCCCTGTGGACAGGCATCGCTTCCAACCTAACGTGGGGCTTCACCATCAGCAGTGACCTCCGTTTCTCTGCAAAACGTCAGTCAGAAAGTGTGCATGGATATGCTTTCCTTTTTTTTTCCTTCCAAACTCCGTTCATGAGACTGGGGGCAATATTATAATAATAATAATAATAATAATAATCCTTGCAATTGATACAGCGCCTTATCACGCCTTCGAGACGCCTCGGAGCTCTTCGCAGAATATGCTGTAAAGTCAATCGACTTGACCCAAGCATGTACCGTGCCATCCAGTATGCCTGGGAAAGACGCTGTTTATAGAGATTTAGGAACGTGTTAGCCGTAGAGTTGCAGGAAGTTGACGAGGCCTGCCCGAGTACACTGGGGAAAAAATTCCCTTAAAAAGAAAAGTATGTAATTTAATGTGGTATCCATTTGGCTTCTTAAAAGTTACAAAAAAAAACAATTAAACCTGAAATGCATCACAAAATCCCAACTAATGCTGACTGGTCAAATAAACTGCTAACCAAGACAAACCCTATTCACCAATGACTCAGTTCTTACAGGAAATGTCAATGCCTAGAATTGAGGATCTGAAGTAGAGCAGAGCTTGAAAACTAATGACCACTATTTTTCCTTCATCGCCCCAATTCTGACCACCATCTGTCTCCCCCAAAAGCACACATAGGGGGTATTTCCATCCTGTGCAGATAATGGAGGTTGATAGGAATGAATCACAAGTTCTCAAAGCCATACAATTTGTTTACCCACTTCATATAATAATAATAGTCCTTGCATTTGTGGGACATCTAGAAGATGTGAAAAGCACTATATCAAATGCAACAACAACAAGGATTATTATTATTTGATATAGCGCTTTTCACATCTTCTAGACGTCCCAAAACGCTTCACAGAATAGACTGTAAAGTGAATTGACTGTGAATTTGTGGGTGAAATGCAGCAGCCAATTGTGCACAGCAGCGTCCCACAAACAGTCGTGGATTGAAGTTACTAATTTATTATTTGTTTAAGGAATTATTATCCCTGGAAAAGCAATCCGCCAATCAACTAACATTTGGGATCCAACTTACTGTTACGTAATTGGAGATAATCAGAGGAACAGACTTAAAAGATGCTCCTTTCCTCCAATGGGAGTACCAGTACCAGAACTCATACTTTGGAGACTGAATATAATAATTGCTAATATTAGACCCTGTGACCACAAATGGAATGAGCCCAGGTCGGGATATGGCCTAAGTGGAAGGAAAATAATAATTTTGCTGAATGCCCTGACAAGTAAGATAGGAAAAGCAGAGTCCCTTGTGGGTTTCAAAGGGAAATGGACAGTTCATGAAAGAAAGGCTTGAAGATATAAGGGGTAGTGAGATTAACGTCTTACTCTGAGAGCAGGTGCAGAATCAATGAGCAAAATAACCTCCTTAGGCACATTACATTTCTATGATTCTATTTTGTAGGTGAATGTGCAGCTAATTTGCACACCGCAATCATAGACTCATAGACGTGTACAGTACAGAAGGCCATTCGGCCCACAAAGCCTGCAGCGCTCTCAGAGCAAACTGTCCAATCAGTTCCATTGCCTCACCCACCCCATGCATATACTCTTTCAGGCCTTTAGTTTTCAATGTCCAATAAACAGCCATGACCAATGATTTCCTTGTGGCCCGCAAATTTCCTATCATTTTAATAGATTTCTAAACATAAGCATTTAAACATTTAGGGAGCTTAAGATATTTCTGTATTTGAAAACTGAGCTATTCTGTAACTTTCCTGATTTCATTGGGAAATTGGAAATTCCTGTGGATGTTGCCAAGATCAAACTACTCGGGAAAAGTATTTTCTGGAAAATTGACATAAATTGGAAATCTATTAAAGTAAGTGTATTTTATTAACACAATGAGGCACACTTTTTCCCCAAAAAGCTTGTCAATGGTAAGAAATGAGACCTGGAAGATCCATAAGAATCTGCGACAAATTGCAATTATCTGTATCGTGCCTTTCAAGTAGGATGAACATCTCAAAGTGTTTCAGATTATAGGGAGTCGTGAAAAATGAGAGGAAGGAGAATTTAATGGTGTTTGCAAAAAACAAAGGTAGTAGTTCTGTGTGTCTGTTACATTCATTACAATAAAAGGGTTTATATAAGAGTACACATAGATTATTCTATGAGTACACATAGATACATTCTTGTTAAAGCTGCTCAACAATTTTTTACCAAAACTTATTAACTAAATATGTTCAAATTGCTGCTGTTTTTACGACCAGAAAATCTGCTTAGATCCAAATCTCTTTTGATGGCAGTATGAAGATACACTCTCAGTCCTCAATCTTTATCTCTATTAGTGTAATCTGCTTAGGTAGTACTGCTCGTAATTGCCGGTGATCTTCCTGATGCTAGCCACTATAAATCCATAAAGTCAGATAAATCTTTACTATTGTTGACTGTGTGGTTTCCCACACTCCTGATATTTGAAGGACATTTCAATGTTCATGAAACAAGTTGTTATTTTATTTTAGTTCATGAAACAATTCTCAGCTGAAGCTTACAAATTTCACTCAGCATATCTGGGTCACAGGATGACTTGTGTTTTATAAACATCAAGAGGTTCATTTCCTGCTTCCTATCATTATAAACTGTGATTATCATTAGTGAGCACCGATTGAGTGGTTTGAATTCCCAAGCCGAGTATCCCGAACTTCCGCATTAATACATCTTGATACATTCAGTAAATTGCACAAACAGATGCTATATAACAGGCATGGCACATAGAAATTTGCCTTGATATTGCTCTAAAAGGACTATATTTCTCATAATTTTATGCAGTACTCCCAGTGGAGATTTTTTTCTTATTCAGTCAGATAAGGAGCTTCCTGTAAGAAATGCAAAACATGTCCAATAGATATATAAAGGATATGCTATTAAAGGGACAAAAGATACTATAGCTAGACAATACGTAGTTCAATTTGGAGGTACCTTCCTTCAATTGAGATGTTACACCATCTCAAGGTCTCGTCTGCTTCTTCAGTGGATTGAATATTAAAGTTCCTGTTCAAAAAGAGAGGGAAGTTTCTCCCACTGTCCTGACCAACAATCTCCCAGATACATTTGGGCGTTCACTTCATGGCTATTTGTGGGACATTTCTGAGTGTAAATTGGCTGTTATATTTGCTTACACAAGAAACAGTCACTAGACTTTATAATATATCACACAAAGGTTTAATTGAGATGTCCTCCTAACACTATATCAAATGCAAGGACTGTTCTTCATAATTAATTGTGGTAACAGATATGAATGTTAATTTCTCACCTTCCTAAAAACTTTTGTTTTGGCTGCAGTAACACAAACCATCTTACCTTTCTTGAAACATTTGGTTTTTAATGTCCGATCCGGTGTCATCTGAATAAATATTGTTTACAAATAAAGTCATCTCACACCTTACAATAAATCCTGTGATGCATTTTAAGATGTTTCACCAATGTGAATTGTTTTATTATTATTATAATAAAACATTAACAAACTACCTTGAGCATATGTTAATAGTCAATACCCAACAACCAATTTCCTCTATTTTTATTTCAGAACTCCGTAGACACTTTGATATGAATTCCTTTTAGTTCTCTGTATGCATAGCTGTAGAATTTTGCCCAGTCCCAAGTCAAACTGTTGATATGACTTCCAGATGTTCTTTTTATTTCATAACATTCTCCGGCCCAACACAGAACCACGTGGGTGGATTCCTTAGAAACCACCACCAACAACAACAACTTTCACTTATATAGCGTGTTCCACGCCGGGAAGCGTCTCAGAGCGCTTAAACCAATGGGCTATTGGTATTTTTACAGTCTTAGTGTTTTTTTATCAGGCGATGGTTAGTTGAAGGTTGCAATGGGGAAAAAAAAACAGTGAGAGTCTAATGCAATAAATCAAACACACTGTTATATTTGTCCAGTTTTGTGTTCTGTGTCTGATGATCCAGAGCTTTAAGGCTGATACCCCAGTGTGACACTGATAATAATGATATCAATCATCTATGGTGACATCAGCCTCATAGCAACCAACTGCTTCCATGAGACCTGAGGCTTCCTGTGTATGTTCTCAGTGAGAGGCACCGACCAATATACACCTGAGGCACTGGATGTATGGAGATGACTTTGTGTACACGATACCACCGGTGTTCGGCTGAGTGTGTAATGCTGTGTAAGCTCTGCACGTCACATTCCTGCCAACTTCACGCGGTGGAGTTGAACCTCAATCTCACGCCCGGATGACAGCCATCAATCGTGGAGTTTAGGACGGCAAATGGTTTGGTTTTTTTCTCCTTCTGACAACGATATTAAAATCTATTCACGAACATCGTTCTTTCGAATTATTTCAAAGATCAGGGGGTGGGGGGGGGGGGGAGAGGTGGTGGGGGGGGGAGGGGTGGGGGGAGGGGTGGGGGGTGGGGGGGGGGGGTGGGGGGGGGGGGGGTATGAGGGGTGGGGGGGGGGGTCGACCGAAATGCCAGATTTAAACCTAAAGATGGGAAGGGAATGGCTGGGAACCACAACAGGGCAGGTGGTGTGTGGAGAAGGTGTGGCTCCTGTTGGGGAGGGAGGGAGGGAGGTCTGCATACAGTATGGTAGGACCTGCTGGGCTGTGGTTGTCAGAGGGGAGTGAGAGCTGAAACAACGCGTGTGTAAGGCTGGGACATTGATGAATTGTTTACGTGGCCTCCCACGCCTGGAGAAACATGTCCTGCGTTGCAGTTTTGTTAAGTAGGTAGATAGTGCATTGGGTATCTATCTCTCCTTCCCTTCTCCAGTGCCTCCTGGTAAGTCCTGCACATGGGCTGCAATGCTCCCTCGCAATCTCAGATAGAACGAAATGCCAACAGCAGAAGATGGTATTCGGAGTCATTCCACTGAGGATGACAGGTAATGAGCTGGTTTTGAATTTCATCGACACTCTTCTGTCTAATAAATAACTCCTAACCTAACTCACTGGATTACCTAACAACTGACAGCTAGAAACCGACTTGACCACTTTGAGATTGTTTTGCAATAAATCTGTGGCAAGGCGACACAGCGTTATATCCAGGGTTGGTATGGGCTGAGAGAAAGAGAGAGAGAGATGTGGCATCTCATGTGGTTTAAAGATAGTATGAAATGCAATGCCTGCAAAATTGCAATTTTCACATTTTCACATTTTTGTTTGACAAGATCCCCCTATCTTAGCCCAAATTATCTCAAAAAGCAATGACACAAGCAGAATACAGGATTGAGAACCCCAATAAGTCCTTCATAACATTCAGCAGTTTGATTTTTATATAAAGATGTATACAATTACATATGTGTAATTTCTTTTAATCATAACTCAATTCCACAGACTATTACGAAGACTGTTTAGATCTTTTGTTCCATGGATCTCTGTTGATTTTACAAGTTTGTAAAATTACAGTATTTTGCAAGGCGATGGTTTGCAATTTCATTGTTTGCCCCTACAACATTTCCCCCTTCCTCTCCTGAAGATCCTAACTTATATTGTACTAAATTTCAGGAGTGTCAGTTCTTGGGTTGACATTAAAGATCCCATAGTACTACTTGAACAAGAAAAGGAGTTTCTCCAAGCATCTTGGCCAACCATCCTCCCGATTATTTGATCATTCACCTCATTTGTGGGGGAATTGTTTTATGAAAAATGTTTGTCATGTTTGCCTTCAATTAGTTACTTCACTCCTTCCCTTAACAGGAATTACATTCCTGTAACCCATCCTCACACTGTACCAGAGTGCAATTCCCATGGGTAAATTAAGGAATCCTGTAAGAAATACAGTAATTTATATCCCTCTGTGTGTTATGTGGTCTAGGCTGATATTCAAATACAGTGTTGGGAGAGCATTACATTGTTAAAGGTGTTCTCAGGATGAAAATACACAGCCATTATACTTTACAATATATCCTGTAAAGCACTTTGAGATGTCTTTCTGACATGAATGGTGCTATATCAAATGCAAGAAGAATGAATGATTATTATATGTTCTAATTTATTGTCATATTTTTTAGCCTACAAGTTTTTGCTGCCAACTGTACAACTTCTGGCCAAAGGAACATCTTGTGAACTTTTCCACAAGACAACACATAGCTCACTAAGATGTTTTTCAGTAACCCCTGGATTTGCCAAAAAAAATGGAGATCATTCAGTGGATAAGGAAAAGGTATAAGCCTATTTTGACATTTCCTTATACTGGTACAATCCCAGTGTATGTAGTACTGAAATGTGTTTTATTTATTTCATATTCTCCACACACTACATGTAAAGATCAAACAGATCTAACAGGGGATGGTGTTCCTTTAAAAAATGTTGTGTTGCATAAAATGACTAACCTCACTTCTACAAATATAGCAATGTCATGATTTACCCATCCTCCCTTGATATGAAACAAATAACACCACACTTCTTCAAACTTTGATCCTGGATCAGTTTGTGGCCCTAAGTGCATGTCCTTAAATGCGATTCCATTATTATAACTTTCCCTTTTCCCATTATTTGTATTTTACATATCTGTTTCTCCTTAAATCCAATTTTGATTCTTTGGGTCCTAGTGCAATAAGATTGGTCATTCATTTCATGGTTATTTGTGGGAAATTGCTGTAACTGCTGCAGTCACTACACTTTACAATATTTTCTGTGACGCTCTTTGGGATGTCCTCCTGACATAAAAAGCACTATACCAAATGTAAGGATTATTATTATTACTACCTGCATTTACAGAGGAGTTTAAAACCTAGTAATTTTAATACGATATTTTGACAGCCTGGTCATAAGAACGGAATAAAGATAACACCTGGAAACTCAACAAAGTTCTTAGGAAAAAGCCATGATCAGTTCTATTGTCCAAAATGTGGAAGCCCAGGGCTACATATGGAGGCATTTATATGTAAGTATAAGTTTTGGGGGTCTGAAATTTCAATATGTGATGTGTTATTTAAAGCCAATAGTACTGATAATAATAACAACAAAATGACATTTGGATGACGCCTTTCATGTCGGATGACGTCCCAAATACACCGTTGTCAAAAGTGAGCATCTTTAAAATAATTTGCATTGCAAATCACAGAATGTATAACTGTTCACAATCTATTCTCTTTATAAATTGATGCAAGCAATTCTTGATTGATTGACACAGATGTTTCATTTCTTCTTCCAGCCCCTACACCGTTTGTAAAATGTAACAAATGCCAACACTTCTTCTTAATGGTGAGTCCAAGAAAAGATTCCATTAAGGGTTACAGAGAAGTGGATCTATGGCATACAGCTGTCGAAAAAGAATTGCAACTGAAACTACCATCACCAAAACAAGTAAGTCGGAAGGTTCTTTGTTCTTCGAAGGTTTGCAATGTGCACAATTTCCTTTTGCTGACAGTATCTTACATTGGAACAGTGCTGCCTCTGTAAACATATTATCTGCCTCCTCAACACTTCCATTTTCATTTCCAAAGTCCTCCGAGACACTACGCCGCGTGAAGGGTGTTATATAAATGCAAGTTGCTGTTGTATTTGTATTTCACCGACATCACAATGGTTACACTCCTCAGAGTAGCACGACAAGGAGAGAACTGAGTCTTGTCGTTGGTCGTCATAGCATTCTTTCATTTGGGTTATAATCCATATCAGACTGATGGAATGAGAATCTTGTTCTGTTACAACTTATGGATCTGAAGAGCGCAACTAGTTGCTGGAGAGTGAGACCACAGCAGCAATTTTGTCCCAGTGCCAAGTCCAGATATAACGTATAAAAGTATGAAACATAAAAATAGGTTTTAGCACACACCACTTTGGGTATGGCACTAAATACATCTCACGAGCTCCCAAAACATCACTATTCTGCTTCATCCATCTTTATTTATCCATCTTCATCTGTATTTAAACATATTCAAAATCTGTTTAATATGTCATATTTTACAGATTGGAAAGAATTATTAATGTTTTGGGTTTCAGATCCATAATTTTTTGGATAAGTATGTTATTGACCAAACCTATACAAAGAAGGTTCTCTCAGTGGCTGTTTACAATCACTATAAACGAATTTACAACAATGTGCCACCTGCAGTCACACAGGTCGATGAGTTCTGTGGAATCCAGCAGTCCACTACATCTTCTAAAGGTAAGTCCGGTCTGAAACCTTTGATCTTCAAAAACTGCAGACCTCATAATTGTCTAGTTTCTGCCTGTTGAACGTTCCGGGATGCTACCTTGTATCAAGGGCGCTATGTAATTACAAGTTGTTGTTGTTATTGGATAAAAGCACTGTTAGTTACCAAAATAAATTCCCTCCCACTTGATTCCCCCATCACAGTTTGAAAATTCAATTCCATTTCCATTTTATTCAAGTAACATCCTTAATTGGTCCTTATTGGGGTTCAGAGTAGTGTTAGTTTAATATCCAAATTCAATATTTTCTGAGGTTTTTAACATCAGAGCTAATATATGACTAATCCAACCTTCATATTGGCAAGCTTTTTACTGCCCAAGAAACCATCGTGGTGGATTTGAGCAGCAGGTAAGATTGGGAACCTGTTACGTTAAATCAAATATTCTTTAATTTCAGCTGTTACTATTTTCAGAATAAGTATTCGTGGAGTCCCGTAGCTCATTGGTTAGAGCGCTCACTTTGCAAGCAAGAGACCTGGGTTCAATTCCAGGCAGGGTGAAGCCTTGGCAAGTTTCCTTACTCCACATGCCTAATAATAATCCCTCAAAAAAATAATAAATTGGTCATTTTAATCCACGACTGTTTGTGGACACTGCTGTGCACAATTGGCTGCCGCGTTTCACCCACAAATATACAGTCAATTTATTTTACACTCTATTCTGTGAAACGTTTTGAGATGTCTAGAAGATGTGAAAAGCGCTATATCAAATGCAAGGATTATTATTATTATTATTATTATTTCTCTTGGGGTGTCTACGTAGATAGAAACTGCTCCTCCTACCAGATATTTATTTCAATTCAGCATAGAAGAGATTCTTTATTCTTACTGAATCTCAGGCTTGACAAGCCTTTTTGATGTAGGGACTAGAATGTATGGAACCAAGGTACTATTGACAACAGTGTTTGAGTGGACACATTTAAATATACTATATATGTGCGCCCACAAAATATACAATGAATTCACTTTACAGTATCTTCTGTGAAGAGCTTTGAGACATCTCAAAGACATGATAAGGCACTATATTAAATGCAAGGATTATTATATATGACATATACAGTACACCAGTTCACCTACTGGGGGTGGATGGGAGCAAGGGGAAGGGGAATATGCTGAGTCTTTGTTTAAACTACCAACGTCCCAAACAAGCCATTTTGAAGATAAGATAGGACTTTGAAAAACCATCTGCATGACTCCATCCACAACATACCAGAACACTCTATTTTGACACACCATATCTGATCAAAATGCCTAAATAATGAAGTAATGAATAAAAGCAAGACCCACCATTGTAAAGTGCTCTGAGACTTTATCCTACATGAAGGGCGCTGTTGTTGTTGCTGCAAGTTGTTGTTGTTTTAAAATACACTCAGCTGTATTTTTTCACCTTCTACAGAAATGCTGCAGATGGGAGGAATGTATCCCTTTACCAGCCAAGCCCACTTCTCTTCTACAGAACAAGATGTATTAAGTTTTCCAAAGGATTTACACACTACAAGTGATTCTGTTCATCTAGACAAAAGCAACATCCTCTTGCTTGGACCTACAGGCTCAGGTAAAATAGAAATGGACATCTAAACAGTCACATTATGAGTAAATATTTACAGTACTTGATATTGACTTTTTTGATTATCAATAGATATAGATGCAATCTTCAACAGCAGATTTGTTTGCCGCAAAATTACTAGATTTCAGACTGCATTGTACTTAAATGTTGGCTAGAATATGAATTTGAAGTTCCGTCATGAAACATAAATCCACAACCTTTCTGGCTCAGTAATAGGTTATTTTAACTAAGCAATGAATCAGTAAATAGAGGGTACATATATCAGGTAGAGTGGTCTAGATGAACAAGCAATGGGAGGCTTGCCAGATAGTGCTCTCAATGCAGTTTTAGCTGGTTAAACTCCAGCAGTTTCCCAAAACATATTCTGGGATCTCTAAGCTTTGGATCTTGGCAACCCGAGCCTAATATTTTCCTGAATTAGCTAAGTAGGATGCATTCTTCCAAGAAAAGAATTCACATTACTTTCCATGCTAATACATATGTAGAGCAACACATGCATAGTGATAGGTTTCTGATGTGTCAGAAACTTGACTTTCCAAAAATTGCATATGTGGAGCTCACAGTCTAGGGGTTGGATAATCTTGAGCAAGGTGATGGATTTCCACATGTCTCAGATACCTGATCAAAATAAAACAACTGATTTCTACAGTACTGTTCAGCATGTTGAAGTTACAGTAAACCTTCGCAGATGTCTTAGACATGATTGACAGTCTCCCACACAAAAAATACTCAATGTGAGGCACTGATAACTTTCTGCCACTTGCAGCGATCCAACACAAAATTCCTATCATAATCACTGTCAAATTGCCTATTTCAATTTCATATTCAAAAAGAAATATACTCCAACTGAGACCTGAATTTCTATCCAGTCTTAGCCTTTGAGATAATTTTGTCTTGAAAATTTAAGGTCCTGCAGAGATGTTGAAATATTGTTACCTTCAGACCTAATTTGGAAGCTGGTTCTTTTTAAGAACTGTGGAAACACAGATTCCAAAATAAGACTAAATTAAAGATTTTTTCCATAATTCTGTTCATTCTTAAATTTTAAGACAACATGCTCTTAGAGGCTAAGATTGGGTGCAATTTCAGGCATTTATGTAATTTTTTAAAGATATTATTTATCCAACTGTACCTTACCCCAGACGCAGCTGAAACACTCGTCCATGATTTGTCACCTCTCGACTTGACCTTTCAAATGCCATCTTCACCGGTCTCCCCAGCTCCACCATGCACAAGATCCAGCTGATCTGAAACGCTGTTGCCCGCATACTCACCTGCACTAAACTCCATACCCCCATCACGCCAGTTCTAGCCAGGCTCCACTGGCTCACTATCACGAATGAATCGATTTCAAGATCCTCACACTCATTTTCAAAACCCTTCAAGTCCTGGTTCCTCTCTACCTCTTTGACCTGCTTAATCCCAACCCACTGCCTCTGCTCGACTGCCTTCGTCCTCCTACATGGCCCTCGTGGTGGCCGCGCTTTCAGCCACTATGCCCTGAAACTCTAGAATACTCTTTCTCTATCCCTCCACCTTTCCCCTTACTTCTCCATCTTCAGGTCATGCCTGAAGACCTTCCAAAAAAAACAACAACTTGGATTTATATAGCGCCCTCCACGCTGGATGGCATCTCAGAGAGCTTCATGGTAACGGATCCCAGGGCCGAGCCAGGGGAAGGGGGAGGAAGTTGACCAAAGGCGCGGTTGAAAAGAAAGATCTTCAGCCAACACCTGAAAGTGGGAAAAGAGGGGGCAAGGAGAAGGGAGTGAGGAAGGCAGTTCCAGAGCCTCGCGGCATAGTGGCTGAAGGCACGGCTGCCGATGGTGGAGCGGAGGACTCGGGGGACAAGGAGGAGGCCAGCCCTGGTGGAGCGAAGGCAACGGGCACTGTTGTGAGGCGAGAGGAAGTACTTCGTATTCGGCCGTACTTACGGTCACCTCCCCCCGGTTCGGTGTTGTGCTCCGTCATTGTCAAACGCTCTGGGACTCTACCTTGTGTAAGGGACGCTATATAAATGCAAGTTGCTGTTGTTGTTTCTCACTTTAATCTTTTTAAATAAATGATCTCTCTTTTTGTAGGAAAAACCTTGTTGGCCCAGACTTTGGCCAAGTGTTTGGACGTGCCGTTTGCTATCTGTGACTGTACATCATTAACACAGGCAGGATATGTTGGTGAGGACATAGAATCAGTTATTTCTAAACTGCTACAGGATGCAAATTACAATATTCCGAAAGCCCAGCAAGGTACTTTTTTATTTAGTTTTTCCCATTGCTGAAAATTGTGGGGCATTGCAAATTAGCTATCATTTTCATCTACAAAAATACATGAAAGTACACTACACTTTATAATAAGAACATAAGAACATAAGAATTAGGAGCAGGAGTAGGCCATTCGGCCCCTCGAGCCTGCCCGCCATTCGATAAGATCATGGCTGATCTTCAGACCTAACTCTAATTACCTGCCATAGCCTGAATCCTGTGAAGCAATTTGAGACATTTCCCTGACCTGGAAGGTGCTATGTCAAATGTAAGGATTATTATTTATAAAATTAGAAAATAATGTGATTTATTTTTCTTGAAAATAAATTCATTATTGTGGCTAAAAATTTCCAATATGTAGATATGTTTGACAAATGTATCCATGTGTGCTTATAAATACTTACAAAACAATGAGTGCATTTTTAAAAGTACAGATGTAATTTTATATGCGTAATGTTTTATTTGAAATTATGCTGCATTGATTTAGAAATACACAAGGGCAAATTCACAAAATGTACCACACAGAGCAGAACAATACTTATCTACATTAAGAAATTTGCTAAATGGAGCTCGTGGAGCAAAATAACCTCAATGAGATAGGGGTCAGTGCATATTAATATAGCATTTGCATTTTGATTACTATAATACATATTTATTCAAACATATCAATGTCTTTCGGAATATATACTGAATTTCAACCTCCCTAGATTCTTTGCAGACATGCCTGCAAGGCATATATATATATATATATATGTGACCTTTGCGCTAGGGGAGAACCAATAGACACCACTTACCTTGCCTGAGCTCAAGAAGGATATTTTTTAGAAATGGCATTCATTTATTCCACTTCAAAGGGATCAAGGGCTAAGGCACTCCACTAAGGCTCAAACCCAGAACCTCCTTGTCTAAAAGTCAATGTTCAATTCACTGAACTAACCAGGTTGATAAAACCATAGACTCTGTTTTAGGCCAAAGGTTATTATGCAAGATGAATGAGACCATATTTAGTGAGAGGGTTACTGTTTCTGAATGATTTTTATTTGTTTTTTAATTCAAAAGGAATTGTATTTCTGGATGAAGTGGATAAAATTGGAGCAGTTCCTGGGATACACCAACTTCGTGATGTTGGAGGAGAAGGGGTGCAGCAAGTGAGTGGTGGTCCCCACTGTGATAACATTGACAGATCACTCCTCTCACTGCCTTGGTAGATATGCTGTGGGATTAAACATCATGCCATAAATGCAGTGATAGTCAGGAATTTAAAAAAAATTAAATTAGAAAACTAAAAGCTTTGAAGGGAGACATTTTTTTAAAAACATAATTTGTCAGAATACTTTCTTCTGTGGCACAACAGTGCAACAAACCATAGCTGGATTTTTTTGAAGGTTTCTAAAACAATTGAGAAAAAATAGTTCTTAAGATAGGTATAATAGTCCATTTGTACATGATCCGTGCACCCTAACTTGCATATACTGGTTGAAACTGTTTGAGACTCTGATGTGCAATTCTGGTATTTTGTTCAAAAAACTATTTTGCTAATTGCATTTAGCTTAATTCCTTCTTTTTTCTTGGTTCTTTGTGCCCACAATTTTAAACAACATACTCTATATCCAAATATTTACTGTGTCGTTTCACCAAATAAAAGTAGCAAAATCAAGAGTATCAAGGACTGCCTTTAACACTTGTCCAGGGTGTAATTACTCATTTGTGACTGCTATGTGTATGTAGTGTATGGTAGTATTTTCATTTCTTGACATATTTTCTTGAGGACTCTATCTTTTTTTTCCGTCTGGTCCTATTTTACTCCGCAAGTCCCATCGGCCTGCTCAGATGGATGTTAAAGATCCCATGGCACTATTCTAAAGGAGAAGGGAGTTTCTCCTGGTGTCCTGGCCAACAATCCCCCCCAAATAAAAAAAAATCAGATACTCAGTTCATGGCTACTTGTGGGATTTTAATGTGCACAAATTGGTTGCTGTGTTTGCTAGTAAACTATACAGCCACTACACTTTACGGTATATTCTTGTGAAGCGCTTTGAGATATGATTTTGAACATTATGTTGAATTTCTATATCAGGGACTGTTGAAACTCTTGGAAGGAACCATAGTAAACGTCCCGGAGCGAAGTTCGAGAAGGTATCGTGTGGATACAATTCAAGTGGATACCGCCAATATTCTTTTTGTGGCTTCAGGAGCGTTTAATGGACTGGAGAAAGTAGTTAGCAGGAGGAAAAATGAAAAGGTTGGACCTCAATACTATGAGTGCTAAATATTCATTATTACTTTCAAAGGGGATATTCGTAAAGTATATATTCCAGGTGAAGAAAAGTGCTTAAATATATATATATTATATATATAGGGATTGTAGTATATTTACAGTTACTGCAAGATCCCAAGGTTAATGAGGTGCAGTGAGTATAATAATATAATAATAATCCTTGCATTTGATATGGCACCTTATCACATTGTTGAAAAGTCTTAAAGAATATTTTGATAAATGGTTTCCAAACAACTGCCAGTCTGGAATAATGACACCTGAGATCAGCTGGGATCACGATTCAGGAATGCTTCTTTGTTCTTGTGTTTGAGATCCATTTTTTTGAGGGCTTAAATCTTTGGTTGTCAGATGCGTGATAAGCTACAACAACAACAAAATTACATTTGTATAGTGCCACTCTCATCTGTAGGACGTTCCAAGGCGCAGGATAGCTAGTGACTATCTCCCTGGTTACCGGATAGGGATCAAGGCGGTAGGTAAGCCTGAACTCCTTGAGGCTGAGCTGGTTCCAGGGAAGGCAACAGAATGTCGAAATTGAGTCAACCCTCTATGGTAGTCTTGGTAGCCCGGTTGCTGAGTCAGGCGAGCAAAGGCGTCAGGTGGCTGGGTCTAGAGGGGGCTCAGGCCCCCCAAATCTAACTACAGCTCACCTCTTTAAGGGGATATGGAAGGGGAAAGTCTTGAGGAGGACCACAGCCAGTCCTCCATGCAGCCTCAACCGCGGGACCCTCTTGTCAACCTATCAGTAGTTGCTATCCACTTCTTCACCTCTGAATGACCCAATGGACTGTCAGTCAAACAAATGCCTCACCAGCCTTAAAGGCTTGACTGACAGGTCCATTGGGCCAATTGGGTGAGTACGCCCCGAAAAGTTTTACTCATTCCCCACAAAGAATATTATCTCCCACCACCTCTGTAAGAGAGTGCACAGTTATAGGGTATTGCTGATAACAGATCAATCAGCCACGCCAGGCTCGTTGGCAAGACTTGGAGGAACAGACTTGTCACATTGAATGAAATAACTTAAACTAATATTTAACATTAATTAATAATAATAATTAACAGATAGATAATAGAAAGCAAACTGATCTGGATCTGTTTGTTCAGTACCTAGGATTTGGCACAACATCTGACATGGGTAGTGGTCGTCGGGCTGTGGCAGCTGCTGGTTTGGCCCATTCATCTGGAGACAATATAGATGAAGAAATGAAAGAGAAAGACAGACTCCTGCGTAGTTTGGAGACCAAGGATTTGATTGAATTTGGAATGATTCCAGAATTTATTGGAAGATTTCCTGTGGTGCTTCCACTACATAGCTTAAATGAGGACATGTTAGTGCGTATTTTAAGTGAACCGCAAAATGCACTGTTAACTCAGTACAAGATGTTGTTTGCCATGGATAAGGTATGGAGAAAAAAAAAGGCCTGAGTACTATAAACGATATAAAGAACGGTAGTAATAAGAAACTACTGCCAGGTTTAGGATTGAAACCAACCTAATACACATCTGGATAGATGCTACATGCCAGTTTTCTCCTTTTGTTAGAACTGGAAAGCATGGTGCTTTGTTTTGGAAAAACTAGTAAAAATTAACCCTCTTTTAATGTCCTTTTAAATTATAAGAAGGGACACTCTGTATTTCTGTAGCATTCAGGGATATGCAAGTGACTGTCGAAAAGGGCACCAACAGAAAGCAAAGTAAAACACAAACTAAATGTTGTGCAAGCTAATATATATATAATGGGTGCTACCATATATAACACTAGGGATACATTGGAAACTGCATAAAACCCACAATCTTATTCAGGCAATAATGACCTAACTTAATCTGAATTTGGACAGTAACCTATGAAAAAGGGATGTAATTTTTGGACTCACAAAAGGCCATCATTCTGGAGTTGCAATATTTGGTCTAAAGTTAACCATTTTGGGTTCTTATTTGTAGGTCATGTCTTATTTTTCATATGAACTTGATAAAGAGTGCACTTTCAGTTAAAACAACTTTAAACAATCATTTATTGTAAACATAATTAATTTGGTAGGTTATTTTTAAATATCCAGCATATCTGAGCAAATCCCAGATATATACCTTTGCGTGCTGGTATAATACTTCACTGAATATATACCACTCTGTGACTTAAAATATTCAAAGAGATTTCATGCCACATGAGCACAGTTAGGTATACTCATCCTATTCAGCATACTCAAACTGTAGTTCAGCTGGTGAATCTTTGACTCTGAAAGCAAAGGTTGTAGGATTGAAACTCCACATAGAGTTTGGGATTCAGTGTATAACTAAAAAAAGAGAAGAAAAACTATTTTGAAAGTGGCAAGGACCACACATTTTGAAGTATATAGTATAATAATCCTTGCATTTAATATGGTACTTTTCACGTCTTCTGGAAGTCTCAAATCACTTCACAGAATAGACGATAAAGTGAATTGACTGTATAATTGTGGGCAAAATGCGGCAGTCAATTGCGCACAGCAGTGTCCCACAAGCAGTCGCGGATTGAGTATCCAAATTATTTTATTTATTTATTTTCTTGAGATTATTATCAGTCGTGTGGAATAAGGAGACTTGCCCAAGGTTTCTCCCTACCGGGAATTGAACCCAGATCTCTCGCTTGCGAGGCGAGTGCTCTAACCACTGAGCTACAGGACTCCATATGTGTATGTGTTCTGTGTAAGAAATAGCAGTTTTTAGGAAAACATATTTAATGTCCATAGAGTTGAAATATTGGTCTTCCCAAACATTAACTATGAGGTCCGTACCATTCTTAAAAATTACAAGAGGGATGAGAATGCAATATTGTGCTTTTTAAAACTAAATAGATAACAAAGTAAGCATACTGATCCTTGTAGATATTTAGTTTAACCAAAAGAATGCATTTACTTTGTACCTAAATAAGCAGTGATACAGTATGTTATTCAGGAATCTTGCTGTAACTTTCCTTCCAGTGTGATTTCACTGTTACTGAGGCAGCCCTGAGAGCTATTGCACACAAAGCTAATCAAAGGAAGACAGGGGCCAGAGGATTGCGATCAATCTTGGTATGTGACACAAATTCTACCTTTACTAGCCTGCCTTAATCCACTGAAGTCTTCAGTTACAATTTTTTTCACTAAAATTTATAAATGCTATATAATCAAGATTAGTTCTACAACAGGTTCTTTGGGCTCCCAAAAAACATTCTCAGCTGTCACTCAAGCACACTTACTCTCATCAAGGCACTGTGCTATTCTCGGCTGTGTTGCAGGAAAGTGCACTGGGCTCTGAGGTGGAATATTGCCCCACAATCTGGATTATCCAGGCCAGGGCTGTCCGAGTTAGTCTTGACCCCTCCTATTGTCATAAAAGGGACAGCACTGCGTTAAGCTGTCCAATTTCACAATAGGTTATAAAAGGGTATGAGATAAGACCATCTTCTCAGACTGGCATGAGGTAGGAAGTATTCCACATGGGACCATGTTAGGATCACTACTGTTTACCATATACATAAATGATTTCAATTCATGTAAAGGATTAATTTGGTGTCAAAATCTGCAGATGATACCAAACTGGTGGGGGGGTATGGTAAATACTGAAGGGATTGCAGAAGAATGCAGGAAGACATAAAAAGGCTAGCAGAATGGGCAGATAGTTGTCAAATTAAGTTTAATATAGGAAAATGTGAAATAATTCACTTCGGCAGGAAAAATAAAGAAGCCATCTATTTGGTGGACAGTGTCCAATTTTGGTCTCCAAACTATAAGTATATAGCAATGATGGAAAGAGTACAATGTAGGTTTACGAGGAAGATACCCAGTCTGGCAGGTTAGTATTATCAGAATTTAAGAGAATTTACTTCACACAAAGGATAGTGAGATTATGGAACTCGCTGACTGAATCTATGGTTGAATCAGATAATAATAATAATACTTGCATTTGATATAATGCCTTATTGCGTCATCGAGATGCCTCAAAGCGCTTCATAGGATATACTGTGAAGTGGGTTGACATGTGTATTTTGGGGGAAAAACACAGCAGTCAATTTGCACACAGCAATGTCCCACAACCATGGAGCGAGAACCAATTTTTTTTGGGTGGGGGCTTTGTTGGCCAGGACACCAGGAGAAACTCCCTTCTCTTTTCAAATAGTGCATGGGATTTTCGCCAGAACAGTTAGACAGGACCTTAGTTTAATGTCTCCTCCAAAGGACGGCACTTCCAACAATACAAAACACCCCCAAGGAAGAGTGATCCCAACACAATCGAGCTTCTCTCAGTAATTCAGTCACTATACCAGAAATTGATCTGAAACTTTGTGCGGCTGGATTCACATCAATCCTTGGCATTGTGCATTGACCCACTAATATTTTGTATCGCAACACCATCTACAAAGCCTGTTATTTTTAAAAATAAACAAGCTAAGTCCAAAGCCACTGAGCTCATCCTCTGCTTAAATCCCTGACTACGCTCCATGAACTGATAAAATAATTTTTAAGTCAGTCCATTGCTTTATTTCTAAAATACATTTTTTCCTTCACATGTTTAATCTGTTTAGGCTTTAGTTCTTCTCTCCTGAGGTTGTTGGTTCATGCTGGGCTATGGTTCCATGGGTGTTGTTTGCCCTCCAGTACCTCACCCAAATCACGATTTAGATGGCGAGTGTTGGCAGACTATTCTGAGGCTGTTCCTATCTGAACCCTAACATCCTGAATCTACCTCTTTATAGTGGTAATGCGGGAGAAGAAAGAATCTTAGAAGTCTTTTAACTTTCTTTGTCAAAGATGCAATTTCTGATTTTATTTCAGGAACAATTGCTGCTAGAGCCTATGTATGAAGTCCCTCATTCCAATATTATTGGCGTTCATATAGATAAGGAAGTTGTCAATGGCAAAAAGGGACCAGAGTATATTCGGTAAGTTTTTATCATCATATCATCATACCAGCACCACAGCCATGATCAGTCATCACAAACAACTTGCGACTATCCTCCCTGGTGGTGAGGGAAGTGTGGGGCTGGGGGGGAGGTGGTAAGCGGAGTTAGGCGAAGTCTCCTTGGAGCTGAATTGGCTCCAAGGTTACAAGCTTGGAAATTGAATCTCAGAATTGAGTCAATCCACTGTGGAGGTCTCAGTAGCCCAGTTCCTGAGCCAGGCGGGTCTGCAGGTCTCCACGGCACTGCTGATGACATAGCAACCAGCTTGGCTCATCAGCAGGAGTTGTAGGAGGAGACAGCTCTCTGGGGGCAGGGATTCTTTTCACTTCTGTTAATTGCACAAGCCAAAGTCCTAATGGTTAGGGTATTCCTAGCTGGACAAGCAGGTGGAAGCTTACGAGACACTTGGTGGTCAAACTACAGCACACTTCATTCCAAAAAAATGGAATTACCATGTATAAGTAACATACATGGAACTCAGTCTAGGTTGGATACTCTTTTTGCATGACACCCAACTGAACCCCAAAAAAGCCATCCCTGAATTGTGAAAGACTTTAATGAATATTGTTATATAATGTATATGCATATCATATATTGTTTGAAAATACACATTGATTTTGATTGGTAATATTAATAGCTTCACATAATGCAGTTATTGGCTTATATTAGGTTGTATTCCAGTGAAGAAGCCAGAAAATTCTGCATAACTTGCATAGTGAGAATTTTAGTGGAGCTGGTATTTTTCTTCACTTCTGGAACTTTGCTTTGAATCTAATCCAGACTTTAGATTAAAGAGAAAAGTCGGATTAATGATGCACTGCATTTCTTTATGGATTGTTTTGGATACTCCTGTTTAAACAAAACCATTCAAAAATAAAAACACATAAATGTCAAAAGTAAATTACTTGTATCTTTCTGAGCTTTAAAATTTATCCAAATGATGCCACATGTTCCTAAACTTGTTTTTATTGGGTTCTTTTTCACACAACCATGTGAAACAAATTACTAATGACTGTTTATTGCAGGGCCCCAACAAAAGAGGATGACAATACAGTTCGGGCAGTCAGAAGCAGGGATGGATGAAAAGAGCTGACACCATCAACAATCACTTACTTGGTTCAGTGTGAGACAAGCTGATTTGCTGAACAGTGAGACAGGAAGCTGAACACGTACACAATCATTTGTGACTAGTAAATTGTTCAAATAGCAAGTCATTGTTGAACATAACAAAAGGTCTCTGCTTCCATTGTGTATTTTAGAAACTGATGTTCAATTGGTGTTTCACATAAGATACAACACAAGCACAGATAGTATATTTTAGGGATGAGCTTCAATATCAATGCACAATCAATATTTTATTTGTCTACTTTGTGCATTTTCAGCCTACAATTCTACCTATATCAATTCAAACTGGGTAAAATATGAAACAGCATTATGGAATTAATTACAGTGCAGGAGAAATTGAGTGAGATCTGTCTTTGTCCCAGGTTATTTCGTAAAACCAAAATTGTTCCATAGACATTGTTAAATAACAAAGATTCAATTAAAATGACACGGGCCTTACCACTATTGGACTTCACTCATATTAATGGCCATTAATTCAATTTAATGTGCATTTCTACACATATTTATTATTTATACTGTGCATTGGGAAAACAAATACATTTTCCAACATAACTGTCACTGAAAGACTTTTCGTTTCTAAGATTACAGAATACGAGCTTTAGCTGGGTACAGCTTGCAACAGCAGAATTGATTTTCAAGTTTACACTAGGTGCTTTGCAGTTATCTTTTGTAATTTATATAGCATTGAAAACAGTCATTTTCCACCATATGACTTTTTTATCAATGCTGTCAAAAAACATTTCAGTGTTTCTATGAAGTGCTGACTCAGACCACTGCAGTCTGTATTTAAAGTAATCCTTGCGTTTGATTTAGCGCCTACAATGTTCAATGCCAAGAATGTCTCAAAGCGCTTCATAAGGTTCTGTAAAGTATAGCGACTCTGTATTTGTGGGTGAATAAATAGTCATAGCTTTCAAAAATCTGCCAAGATCTAAGAAATTATGAAACATGCTTAATAGGTTGAACTGTGTTCTCTTGTTAATAAGTCACCTGATTCACTAACAACCCTTTCTCCTGTTTCTTTACACCATTCAAGTAATTGTCCATCTTTCTGATCTACAGAAAGTTTGCTTTGTAACCCTAAGTTAATAATAAAGAATATAACTCAAATTGTTCTCTTTACCTGCGCTACCCATGTCAATAATTCAGGAATTGGTGCAAGCTCCAACTGAATAAATGCTGCTCCCAATTGGGTGGAACCTAACCCCCAAATCTCTGTGGTTTTAGGTCTTTAATTATTTTTGGGAAACAGAGAAGTGATAAAGGAAAGTGGTGTTGGAAGGATCCAGATAACAGTGGCCTCCCCCCAGTTCCCTGCTGAACTGGCTCCAAGGTGACATGCCTGGCAACAGAATGGCGGAATCGGGCCAGCCCTCCGTGGCAGTCTCAGTAGTCCGGTTCCTGAGCCAGGCGGGTCCGGAGCATTCCAGCCTGGCTCATCAGCAGGACCTGGAAGGGTAGACCAGTCACTGGAGGCCGGGAGTCAACTCACTCAGCAGCGGGGAAGCTTATCAGACAGCGACATCAATGGCAAGCTACGTGGTGTGAGCTGGTTAGACTCCAGCAGAACCCCAACACACTCTGGGGTCCCCAGGCCGTGGCTCTTGCTAACCCGCGCCTAACACTTGCTGGAATTAGGTAAGCGGGAGGCGTCTCTCCAGGGAGAGAGTGTGCATTCCAGTCCAACCATCTATCTGTGGGGTTTGCATGTGTTGGTTGGGATCCTCTGTATCCTGGTGATGGGTTTCCGCAGGTGCCGGACATCGGACTGACAGCAGAAGTGCTGCCAACCGCGCCGGGGCCAGAGCCAGGCCCAGAGCCAGGCCCAGGGCCAGAGCCAGGCCCGGCCCAGGGCCAGAGCCACAGCGGGGGCCAGAGCCAGAGCCAGGCCAGGGCCAGAGCCAGGGCCAGAGCCAGGCCCAGGGCCAGAGCCAGAACCAGAGCCAGGCCCGGCCCAGGGCCAGAACCAGAGCCAGGCCCGGCCCAGAACCAGATCCAGGCCCGGCCCAGAGCCAGAGCCAGGCCCAGCGCAGCCTGTGAAGGGCAAGTGTCGTCAGGGTGACGGAGAGGCGTCACAGCACCGACGTAATGAGAGCCCGCCTACCCGGCGCTTCCGATTGGCGAGGCCGCACAAGCTGTGATTGGCGGAGGTAGCTGTCACTCTGGGCGGGCACAGCTCGCGGTGGTCAGTCGCCATGTCGCGGGGTGCGGCCGGCAGCGGGCGGCTGGTGAGCGAGGCCCCGGCCGCGGAGTGGCTGGAGAGCCAGGCGCTGGGCGGCGGCCTCCACCTGCTCCGCGAGCGCTTCTTCCAGTCAGGCAACCGCGCCAACATGTGGCTGCTGCGGGGCTCCCACCTGGACCTGCTCATAGACGCCGGCCTCGGCCTGAGGAGCGTCCCGGACTACCTGAAGCGGGCCGGGCTGATCGGCTCCAGGCCGCTGCTGGCCGTCGCCACGCACGTCCATTTCGATCACTCGGGCGGCCTGCACCAGTTTGAGAAGGTGGCCGTGCACCGAGCCGAGGCCGAGGCTTTAGTGCAGGGCGATAACTTCGAGACAGTGACTTGGCTGTCGGACAGTGAGATAGTAAAGGCCCCTGAGCCGGGCTGGACAGCCAGGAACTACAGCGTGCGGCCCGTGCTGCCGGCTCGGGTCTTAGAGGATGGTAAATGTCACGCTCAAAACCGCAGCAGCACGAAACCACTCGACATGCCACCACTTACTTATTATACATAACCAGGTCCACGTTCTCCGTAAATGTGTATTTTGCTCAAAACTGTATTTATCCCCCCTGCTCGGGTCATGACCCAACTGTGCAGCGCCTTGGGACGTCCTCCTGACGTGAACGGCGCTTTATAAATGGAATCTTGTTGTTGTTGTTGTTAACCCGTAACCCGCTAAACTGCTGGTGAACTGAATTTCTGATGACATCAGCGATGCCAAATTCATTTATTGGCAACTGGAGAAGTATCGTTGGCATTTGAGGACGAATTTCATGTGAAAACAATGCAGTGCCAGATTAATATGGTTTGAAATTCTCTGTGTTCATTGAATTAACCAAAGGTAACCAGCCCAATGTGGGTGTTTATACTCCACACCAGGCTAAATTAAGCTTGTGTTTATGTAAAGCTTCAACAACAACAACAAGATTCCATTTATAGAGCGCCTTTCACGTCGGGAGGACGTCCCAAGGCGCTGAAATATTACATACAAGTCAAAGCGGTTTTCCAACTCATCAGGACTGGGCCGAAGTGGCCTTACTATAAGGGTGGCCTCTGAGAAAGGGTTTGTTGGTGTGTGAACCTATCTATACTGAAGGGGCTGTTCCAGGGTGGTTGCTGAATGGACTGTAGTTGTAGAATTGTCCCACCTGCCAAGAATTTGAATTGAAATTGTTTTGACATTGCTGGTGAAGATGGGTTGCCAAATTTGCTTTCATGAATTGGCTGCTTGTCTCATTGTGTGAGCACATTTCCTTTTATAGCAACATTTACAGCATTTCTAAACAATATTTTTCAGACAACTGGATCACATGAGTGTTTGCTATGGTTAAAACATCCTGGGAATTATACTACTGGACCGATTTATCATTTTCAGTAGTAATTTAATAGGAATTGATCAGAGGCTGTCAAAGAGTTTCTAAAAGGGCTTTGAACCTGATGAAAAGGGGCTGAGGAGCGCTCTGCTTGCCTCAACAAACCACATAGAAGGAGATTTACTAACCAGTGTGGAACATAGTTCTTCGTGGTATTAAAAATACTTAGTGTCCTTGTAAATATTCAAAACTTTCAATAAAATTTTCTATTTTGTCACAATATGAAATTTGATATCCAGCTGAACTTTTAAGGAAATTGTTTGTCACTTGAGCTGTGTTAGTGGACCTCTGTCTGCATCCATTTTCTGTACCATGCTCCACCATCACCCCACCCTTGGTTGTCAATCTTTTAGCCACTGCTCTCTGGAATTTCCACATGTAGGTGACATACATATGTGAAACTGTCTGCTTTGGGTACGCTTAGCAGAGTAATGGATTTCCATATATGTCAAGACACCAAAGGTAACCAAAAAGGCACTTTGAAAGTGTAAGTATTGGGAATCAAAATGCACGATACTACATATGCCAGGTTTAGCACATTTTGATGATTTATTTGGTTAATTGGATTTCCCATTATTATTGTAGAGGTCCAAAAACTTGTGATTTTTGAATGCATGAGGGAGAAGGGAATAGGAGACATCGAGGCTTGTGTGCAGTATAAATACCAACACAGACTAGTTGTTTCGAACAGCCTGTGTCCACGTCGTATCATGCTATGTAATTCTGGGTAGAGAAAAGGAGTGAAAAAGAACTGGACACAGTCGTTTATGAAATGCTAGAATAGAGAATGAAATGGTAGAATAAATAACCACTTTGAGTCATTGGTGTGTTTTTACGATGTTGTGTCTGAAGGCGATCTCTAAAGATAAACGGTTGGATTTCTCAGTGACATATTTGGCAACATTCTATTTGCAATCCCATTGCCTCCATATGCCCGGGATCCAACTCTGAAATGAAAGGGTCCAAATTCCGTGCATGTGAAATGTCTGACATCATTATCAAAAAGGAACTGGGAAAAAGGCCGGGAGCAAACTCGTATGTCTTCTATTCAGGCATATCTCCCATCCCGTTACTGTTATTTACTGAGTAGCGGAGAACACCAAAATGAGTTTCTGATGGTTTTACTCAAAGGCATCTGACATCATCACACTACTTATCTGATCACGTCAGATGTTCATTCATGCATAGAACATTTTTGTGGCAAGAACCCGCCCTTGGAAGTGGCTTGTGAAATTCTGCCCTCTTGTAACTTGGTTTCTTCAGTAAGGATGACAGTGTCAGTCGTTAGCCTTTCTGCTATTACTGTTGCGAATAACTGTTTCTCTTTCTCAGTAGTTTTAACAAATGTAATTCCTTCATATAAATATTGGGCAAAGAATCATATTATCCTGGGCAAAGTCCATATTCTAGCATTTGGTAAGACCCCTCTTACCTCCTTCCCACACCCCAAGTAAGAGTGCGATTTCATTAATATAAACTCCTATATTATATTTGCCGGTGCCTTATATTTATATTAGGGATTTGACAATTGAGGTAATTGACAATTCCAAGCCTGGAAAATGTTGCTTAATATTTACTGTTGTGCTTTTCATATTAGGTGATGTTATTAATCTTGGAGACCGCCAGCTCACTGTCCTACACATGCCGGGACATTCTAGAGGTAGCATCTGTCTCCATGACCGGGACCAGCGTATTCTCTTCAGTGGGGATGTGGTGTACAATGGATCTATGATCGACTGGCTGCCTTACAGTAACATCAGTGACTACACCCAAACCTGTGAACGTCTAATAGAGCTTGCAGACAATGAACTTGTGCACAAAGTGTTTCCAGGCCATTTTAACTCATTTGGGCCTGAAAGACTCCACAGTCTGGCATCCAGTTATATTTCTAATGTTGGATTGTGCCACAAAGTTTCAACAAGTGCAGTAAGATGCATAGCAAATCTAGCTCTTCGTGCAAACAATTTCAGCTGCACTTAAGCATGAAAAGTGGGTCGATAAAGAAGATGTTTAGGAATTTAATTGCGATCCAGTTTAAGCTGCTGGATCTCCTGTCCTGCATGCAATCATTGTGATGTGCAGGATTTGTGGTTATAGACCAAAGGCTCTCAGAGGATTAACATTAATACTTGATAAGCTGAAGAGGCAAGTTTTCAGCCGTGTATCCTGTAGCAGGACTAGAGATGTTATGAAATGGAAAAATTCACATAACAGTAAATAAGGTAAAGTACATTGTGATTGTATTGAGTTAAGAAGTGAATAACATTTGATTCACAAATGTGTATATATTAAATGTGTGACAAACCCATATTGTAGATTTATTTTCTTTTAATATTTTAGGAAAGCCTGTGTAAAAATAATTTTTAAAAAGTTGAAGCATCTGCAAAGAGAACAAATCCTGAGGTGAACTCTGCATTAAGAAAAAATATTATACCTGTATATTATATAAGAAAATACAAATAAGTTTGAATTGAATTTTTGGATACCCTTCAGAAACATTGTCTGTATTATGATAAAATGTTTAGTGTAGGTTTAGCAATCAGGTTCCTGTGAAATATTATAAATAATACCCAGCATGTTTGCTTCAATAATAACCATAAAATTGTGGTTATCAGCAGGTAATACTGTAGTAACACTGTTTTCCTGTGAAAAACTAATTGCATTTATTTAGCGCTTTTCATGTCGGGAGAGCATCTAAAGTACTAGACAGTCAAGAGTTTGCACCCGAGCTGAGGGCTGAATTCAGCAGTGGTGGAAGTTAAGGCGGTGGGTGGGGGCGCGGGGATATGAATGAAGGTCTGGCCAAAGAGGAAGGTCTTTTGATGGACTGAAGGAGGTGAGGGGAGGGGTGCAGGAAAGTGACTCCGGAAAGGAGTTCCGGAGGATAGGGGCAGACAGCCTGAAAGCCTCAGTGATGGAAGAAGTGAAGCAGGCCAGCGCCTGCTGAGGAGAGAAAGTGAGTAAACGTAGGATCGGGCAATATCATGGAGGCATTTAAAATTAAATTTAATTAAAATTGGTAGGAATGGGGAACCAGCAGAGCCTGGTAAGAATGTGGATTATTGGCTCGTGGGGCATAGTATGGGAGAGGACATGAGCTGCAGAGTTCTGGATGGTCTATGACAAAATAATAATAATCCTTACATTTGATATTGCGCCTTATCACATCTTCAAGACGTCTCAAAACGCTTCACAGAATATTACTGTAAAGTGAATTGACTATTTTTGTGGATGAAACGCGGGAGCCAATTGCGACAGCAGTGCCCCACAAACAGCTGTGGATTGAGTAACCAAATTTTTATTTTGTATTTTGAAGGGATTATTACCCCCAGAAAAGCGATCCACCAATCAACTAACAAGCTGGTTCCTACTTACTGCTAGGTAAACAGAAGCGTGTGGAGTAAGGAAACTTGCCTAACGTTTCACTCTTCCTAGGAATCGAACCCAGGTCCTCTCACTTGCGAGGCAAGTACTCTAACCACTAAGCTGCAGGACTACATGAAATGCAATTATTGTATTAATGAAATAGTAACAATACATCAAACTGAACAATTTTCAATGGCAAAATGTAATAAGTTCAGCCTTTCTGTCAGGGCCACCATAAAATCACAACAGGAGGTGACATAATGGTGTTGCTGTCATTTTGCAATGTACTGTATTATTTTGGTTCCATAAACTGCCACTGTTATTGAATACATTTACAATGAAAAATATTTTAAAGGCCAACTGTGGGGAAAAAACACTATAATGACAGTTGAGTGACAACTTCAGGAAGATACTAATGGTTCAGGTTGATATATACATTGAAAAAAGTGCCTATTGGAGATAAATCTTTTCCCCATTAATAAGAAATCTAGTGAGCGAATTGAGTTTTCAAGGTACTCGTTACATACTGGGTTTCACTGTGTTTTATTTAGACGTGTAAATATTTACTATTATTTGATAAAAGCAGCATCAGCGAAATGAAGTGGCACCTACAGTATTCCATTTAAACTGCAGCTGCTATCCTTGAGGTCTTAACTCAATTGTTTACTTTTTTTTCTAAATGAGCTGAGAAACAAATTTAAATCATTTTCATAAACGTGATAATTAATAAAATAAATACTTAACAAAAATGACATACTTGACTTATCACCGATCAGGAAGACACAATGACTTATTGAAACTAGATTTGTTTTCCCCTTTCATTTGATTCTTTGTTTAGATAATTTGAAGTAGATTTACTTGTTTTTCTATTGAAGGGATCCTTGTACATCTTTCTATCTAAAATCATTCTCAATACATTTTTTCGCCTGGAACAATGAAAGTAACATAAAACAAGTAACGTCCAGCAGGAGGGTCTGCAGTAGAAGAGTTGAGAGAGGTGTATTGTTGGAGATGCCTATATTCTTCACATGATGTTAAACTGAGGTCCCATCTGGGTGGATTTTAAAGATCACACAACACGATTTGCAAAGATAAAGGATTTTCTCTCGTGGTCCTAGTCAACAACCCCCCACAGATGCTACCTGCATGAAGGACACTATATAAATACAAATTTTTGTTTGTGGGGCACCACTGTGCGCAAACTAGCTGCCACGTTCAACCACAAAACATAGTCACTACAGTAAATCCTGTGAAGCAATTTGAGATGTACTGCTGATGTGAACCGGCCTCCGGTTCCACACACACTCCTCCGTTTACCTAGCAGTAAGTAGGGACCCACTTGTTAGTCGATTGGCGGATTGCTTTTCCAGGGATAATAATCCCTTCAAAAAAATTAATAATTGATTACTAAATCCACGACTGGCACAGTGCTGTGTGCAATTGGCTGCCGCGTTTCGCCCACAAAACACCCTGTCACTACGCTTTACAGTATCCTGTGAAGCATTTGAGACGTCTCGAAGACGCGATACATCAAATGTAAGGATTATTATTATTTATTATAAGCCAACAACAAGATTACATTTGAAGAGCGCCTTTCAGGTCGGGAGTACGTCCCAAGGCGCTGGACAGTGTACAGCATTTCAGACCCGAGCTGGGGTCAGGGGGTAGAAGGGAGGAGAGGGGAAGGGGGGTGACCAATGACATGGTCGAAGAGGAAGGTCTTGAGGCGGGACTTGAAAGGGGGCGAGGCGGAGTGATTGGGGGATGGAATTCCAGAGGTTGGGGGCAGAGTGGCTGAAGCCTCTCCCGCCAATGGTGGGGCAGGTGGGGCGGGGGACATGGAGCAGGCCAGAGCCGGCTGAGTGGAGGGAGCGGGCGGGTTAATAGGGGGTTAGGGGGTCACACAAATAGGGTGGGGCAAGGACATGGAGGGCTTTGTATGTGAGAACCAGGATTTTTTACTGGATCCTCTGAAGGATAGAGAGCCAATGGAGTCGGGTGAATATGGGGGAGATGGGGTCACAGAGTTTGGTGCAGGAGAGGACATGAGCTGCAGAGTTCTGGATTATCTGCTGTCTGTGGAGGGAGGAGTTGGGAAGGCCGACAAGCAGAGAGTTTGCATAGTCGAGCCTGGAGATGATGAAGGCATGAACGAGTTTCAGGGCCTGAGGGATGCGGTAGTGGCGGAGTCGGGCGATGTTATGGAGGTGAGGGAAGGCAGAGCGGGTCATGGCTTGAATGTGGGGGAGAAAAGACAGTTGAGGGTCGAACAAGATACCCAGGTTCCTGACTGACTTGGTGAGTTACAGTGTGAAACCATGGAGGTTGATGCTGCCAGAGCCTGAGGTGCTGAGGCACTGGTGCGAGTCAATCAGGAGGGCCTCAGTCTTGTTCACATTCAACTGTAGGGAATTTGCCCTCATTCAGGACTTGATGTCTGTCAGGACAGCAGTGGTCCTGGAGTTGAGGGTGGAGGCAGAAAGATAGAGTTGGGTGTCGTCCGCATACATGTGGAAGTTGACTCCATGTCTGCGTATGATGTCACCGAGGGGGAGTATGTAGATATTAAAGAGGAGAGAGAGGGCCAAGGACAGAGCCCTGGAGGAAGCCAGACGTGACAGTGTGGGGGTTGGAGGAGAAACCGTTAGAGGCAACAAAGTGGAGACGGTGAGAGAGATAGGAATTGAACCAGGCAAGGGCTGGTCCGCGAAGATTAAGTAAGGAGGAGAGGCGGCGCATGAGGATGGAGCGGTCGAGTGTCGAAGGCGGCGGAGAGGCCGAGGAGGACACGGAGGCAGAGGGAGCCCTGATCACAGATGTTCAGAACGTCATCAGTGACTTATAATAATAATAATAATAATAATAATCCTTGCATTTGATATAGCGCTTTTCACGTCGGGAGGACGTCCCAAAGCGCTTCACAGAACACACTGTAAAGTGATGCTGTTGTGGGCGCCGGCAGCCAATTGCGCACAGCAAGCCAGCGGGAACAGTCGTAGATTGAAAATGACCAATTTATTATTGTTTTTGGTCTTAAAGCCCTAAAGAGTATGGTGGTCTGCGCCGGACAAGCAGCGGCAATTGCTGGATGGCAACACCATTGGTGACCTCTGCGGTTTTATCTGGTTAGACTACAGCAATTTCCCCACTCGGGCTCCGGGGTCTCCGAGCCTCGGCTCTCGCCAAACCTTTGGGGAGGGGGCGGGGTTTCCGGGGTTGCATCCGCAGTCCGAGAAATTTTTTTTTTTTTTTTTTTTGGGGGGGGCGGCGAAAGCGGCGCAGAAACTATTTAATACATTTTATATTTTTTAAAAAAAAGTACCTGATTTTAACGGCCACTTTTTTTTAAAAAAAAACGGCCGCGTTCACCGCGCCGTCTCCCGGGCACCCGGCGCCTCCGTTTGATTGACAGCCCTCCAGACCAATCAGTCCGCGGCATTGCCCTATCGCGAGAAGCGGGCAGCCGGAGCTGACCAATGGGCGCGGGGAGAAGGCGGGCCGCGGGGGCTGCCCTTGGTTACGGTCGTTGCCCGGATGCGGTTTGCCTGGTACTAAGCGACGCCATGAGTCTGTCTCTCAGGTACGTGCTCCAGCTCTCCTCTCCGCAAAACCCGCATTAGCCGAGGATTAAATAAAAAAACACACGCACCCGGAGCCGAAAAGCGCTAATGTCTGGGATTGATCAAATCTGTACAAAATTCCCCGTGGCGCCTGTCATGGCGGCCGGAGGGGGGGGGGAGCAGATGGAATGAATAACCAGTTTTATTTGGAGCATTGTTGTCTCGGACATCAGAGCTGTCCCTTCAAATCCCTTCGTGTCCTGGCACCTCCCTATCTCCGACCTGCTTACTCATCAACCCACTACTCACTGCCTCCACTAGACTGGCTCTGGCCTCCTGTATCCCCCTTATGCCCTCTGTACCACCATTGTGGCTGTGCTTTCAACCACTATGCCTAGAAACACCGGAACACTCTTTCTCTACGCCCTGCCTTGCTCCTTCCTCCCCCATCTTCAGGTTGTGCCTGAAGATGTTCCTCTTCGGCTGTGCCTAAGATCACCTCCCCCCGCCTCGGTGTCTTGCTCTATCACTGTCAAGCACTCTGGGATGCTACCCTGCTTGAGGCGCACTGCATAAATGCAGGTTGTTGAATGGGATCTTAAACGTCTGCCTGGATAGGCAGATGGGACCTTATCTGAAGTATAGCCTTCAGGAAGGCAGCACACCCCAGCACTGCACTGGACTGTCAGCCTAGACTATACGAGTTCAACACTCCGACGTGGAGCTGAATTGAGCTCACCAGGCTGAAACTCAAGATAAGTTAATCATTTGAAGCAACGCTCATCAGAACTTAATTTTCCTGTTTGTCCAGCTGCGCTCCTCTGAGTAACGCCACAAACATGTTTCAATGGTAATGAGTCTCGTCTATTTATTTTTTAAAAAAAATTTTTTTCATGTACATTTACTGACCTTAAAAATGAGCAAGTCCGAGTCCTGCTGGATGTAAAACATGAATTAAATTGTGGTTGAGTTCTAATGCTGTCACTTAATTTTGGGGTCTGACCAAACAACTGAAATCTTTTCCTTAATGACCAATCTGAAATTGCTATTTAAGAATACATTTTAAAAGATAGTGTATTTCAGTTTTTTAGTGTATTGTCAATTTTTGCTTTCGATAAATACTTGTTCAACCCTAAATCATTCTGTAAAATCCTTTTGAATATAGATTTTGTTACTACAAGCACAGTTCTATTTCTTTCAGAACTGAGCTTGCCATGGACAAGACAAAAAGGAAAAAAAGAAGAGAATTGTCAGAAGAACAGAAACGGGAGATTAAGGAAGCATTTGATTTATTCGACACAGATAAAGATAAAGCAATAGATTATCATGAACTGAAGGCGAGTTTGGGTTTGAATGCATATTTGACAGTAGAGCAATATGATTTGTAAACTGCTGTTTTTATGGTCTTGGAATTATTTGATTAGCTAATTTAATTATGGTAGTCAACAGTCCTCTTAAGCTGAGAACATTACAAAGCTGGGCAGTGAAGTCGTACAAGCAGGTCAGAGGGAGATGCTAGAACATGAAGAGGTAGTGAAGGTGAGGATCTTAAAATCCATCCATTTGGAGAGCCCGATGATTGGGTATGGAGTTTAGTACAGGTGGAGGAAACAGGAGAGTTTTGTATGAGTTGGACTGGGGAATGGTGGAACTGGGGAGACCAGTGAGGAGTGCATTTGATAAATCGAGACGAGAGATGATAAAGGTATGGATGATGTTTTCAGTGGTTTTTAGGGTGAGATAGGGTCAGAGGCGAGCAATGTGGCAGAGGTAGAAAAAAGGGGGCCTGGTCGCAGTTCGAAAGCACTTAAAGACAACAGGTTATTGTTTTTCAGAAATCCATATTGAATAAGTTGAATACCGAGTTGTGGTCTTGAGTTGAGAGACATTTTATAACAGTAAAGAATGAGCATTGCTGCTGGACCAAACCACTTGCTGTTAAACTAGAAAAAAATGTATATTGTTTCTGTGATTGCACTCTGTAAAGCAAATCATAGTTTCAGTAAGAATATTGCTGGTAACTTCTATAAATTGTGATCATTAACTAAAATGTATTCTTGATTTTGCACTTCATATCATTGCATTTGATATATAGTACTTTATAACAATGTTGAGACGTCTCAAAGCGCTTCACAGATTATAATAGTAATGATCGTTGCATTTGATATAGCGCATTATCACATCGTTGAGACATCTCAAAGCACTTCACAGGACAGATTGTAAATTGAATTGACTATTTTGTTGGTGAAATGGTTCAGCCAGTTGCCCAAAGCAGCGTCTCAAGATTGACAACTTTAGTGCTGAAATTACTGACATGTTATTAGAATTTTTTTTAGTTTGGTTCTTACTGTCTTTTTACTATTAGGTGGCAATGAGAGCATTAGGGTTTGATGTAAAGAAAGCTGATGTGCTGAAAATACTGAAAGATTATGATCGTGATGGTTCTGGCAAAATCTCTTTTGAAGACTTCAGTGAAGTTGGTAACAATTTTCACAAATTTTGTTTTCTATTGATGCTTAAATCTCTATGTAAAGGTAATATTTTTAATTTGATGCTTTGGGTTAAGTGGCTGAAACTCTCCACACCTTTACCTCCAGACTTGACTTCTCATCTTGCTTGCCCCCTCTGCTCTTCAAACGTAGATCTGCCGCGTGTTCTTCTTCCTCATCATAGTTCTCTGAGCCTTCAGCAACTATGCCCACCCTCCCTGCATCTCTCTGCCATGCTCCCCTCTCTGTGTTTTTAAAAGCCTCCTAAAAACGTATCCTTCGATTGTGTCTACCGTCACTCCTCCCCCCGTGACTGAAATTGACATCATGATGTGGAAACTCTGACTGGCAGTTGTGACAGTTATAACGCAGGCGTGGAATTTATAGACCCCAACTGCCAAGTTGTAACGGAGCTCCATTGTATAAGCATAACTTTCCTCTTAGGTGATAGAGTGATAGCAAGAAGGGTTTTGAATGGGTTAAACAAAGTTTACTCATTGCTGCTTTCTTATTTTCCTAAAAATTCTCATGTTCGTAGAAAATAGCCATTATACCCAACCAGCTTTGTCCATTTGGACTCTGCCTTCGAAACACATCTAGTTGCTTTGTGAACATATTAATATGGATCTCACTTATCAGCGCTCCTATCGGGAGAGACTTCAGTAAATAGTATGAGGGATTGAAATTCTGTCCCACAACACCTGTGGTATAACATATCAGTAACTCAGTGAACTGTGCCTCAGTATCACCTACAGGAAGGTTGAATCATTGTGACAGTTTACAAACCGAACATTTACCAAGCATTTTGCATGATTTTCCTACTCTTTCAATATGATATAACATGCAGCATTTCTGCCTTTATCTAATCCAGTGTGGTTCAGTTACCTGGGTTTTTCATAGGTTTCTGGTTCAGTGCTGATGAGGCTGAATCTTGTAAGCCTGTATCTCCTGCTGAATCTGTAAAGTTCAAAATATTGACTTTTTTAACAATGAAATTCCTTTTGTATTAAAATTAATGACATTAATTAAGAACAAGGGAGTCTTAAAATTAGAACTAGGCCATTTAGGCAGTTTTTCACCCATAAGGTAGTGGAAATCTGTAATTCTCCCCCAAAAGCCTGTGGATGCTGGATCCATTCACATCTTCATTGAGGTGGATAGATATTTATTAGGTCAGGGTATTAAGGGATACGGGGCAAGGGTGGGTAATTGGACTTGAGAGAAAAATCTATTTTCCCATGTTTCTGTATTTTACATCAAACTTTTCAGCAGTTATATTTTAAATTATTTTTGATTAGTGACCGATTGGATTTTGGATAGAGATCCGCAGGAAGAGATCCTAAAGGCATTCAAATTGTTTGATGATGATGATTCTGGCAAAATCAATCTTCGTAATCTGCGACGTGTTGCAAGAGAACTTGGTGAGAACATGACTGATGAGGAACTTCGTGCAATGATTGATGAATTTGACAAGGATGGAGATGGCGAAAGTGAGTAGTCCTTGAAATCCTTTTAAATGTGAAGGAAATCTTTGAAATGTGATTAAATACCAGCTGAAAGGGAGATAAAATTATTGTAACCTTGGAAAGATGTAGCATTTGTTTGCATTTTCTTCCGTTAGTCATCATTTGTGGCAATTCACTATAGAAGGTATAAGGTTGTAATTTAAATTTGTCTATTCACTGGAAATATTTAGATAATGATCACTGCAAAAATAAGCAAAGCGGTTTTAAATTATATAAAATTCTTTATATGAATTTTAAGTTCTTTTCACATTTGTTTTGAATATTGGGGTGAAAAATACAGTATTAAAATGTAACGATTATCACTTCTTTGGAATTTCTGCTCCTGACAATATTCCCATTGATTCAACTTTAATAGTTGATTAAGCAGATATTCTGTGAACTGATGCTGAATTGCTGTTTAGTGGCTGTAGTAGTTGGCTCAACAGTCACTGCAAAGCAACTTTGAACTCAGTTTTCATCAAATTGTGTATATTCATGATGAAAATTTCAACATTGTGTTAATTCATTTTTGGCAAATTCTGCTGTCCTGCACTTTGAATCTGATTAGAATTTTGTGCCTACAGTGTGATGCAGTGCCCTTCATTTCTTCCTAGTGTTTGACCTTTTTATTTCAGTAGTGTTTCATATTGATTGTGGAACAATTGCTTTAGTTTCATTAATCATGATTGTGTCTCCAGTGGTTGTAGATGCTCTTATGTCACTCAGAAAACTGATGTCAATTCAAGGAGTGATCCCAGGTGTAGAATCATGAAAGTTCATAACTAATGTTAATCCTCCCAAATGTAAAGTTAAATTTGAGGGAGAAAATGCATGAGCTGTAATTTAGAGCCCTATGTAATTATATCTGCAAGGATGGCTAGCTAGATATATTATAGAAGTACCATACAAAGAAACAGAAAAGAATATCAATATGTAAGTAAGAAAATGATTAAATACAGGATGGATGGAGAATATAAACAAAAAAATGATTTAACTCATTAATGTTGTTATAATTTATGTTATATTTAGGATATTAACTACTTTAGTTTTACTTTCCTTGAGAATTTATCACTTCATTTTGTACATTTTGTGTTAGAATAGATTATTTTAATAAATCTCTGAGTCAGTGATCCGTTTTATGGTAAATTATTTGTTTTTCCTCTTTGTCCACCTCCCACCCCCCACCCCCACCATCTCGGATAAGCTATATCTTGCTATCCTGCAGGCTCACTGAGTGAGCAGGCAATCTGTTTCCAGCCCTCTGCCAATGCTGATCTGTAACTGCCTCCTAGGAGGTGTGTGTGAGTAGTCCAAGGTGACTTGCCCTCCAGATTTTCAATTCCACGTGCCGATATTAATGCAATCAGAAATGCCTGTGAGGTATTGCAGGGGAACGCCAGCATCCTACCACTCCAACACAGTACGCAGCACCAATGTGCTGTGGGACTAGAACAATCCCTTGTTGATGGTTTTGAAATGTTAAAAATTGTGTGATTAATTTATTTCATAACTCTCAGTAGTCCTTTGATAAGGAACTGCTCTCCCTCCCCAATAAATGTGTTACAGTTATTGGGGACTACAAAATGTATGGGAAGAGAAATGGCAAACAGCCGTTGAGAGAAATTAGTTTTACATGTATGTTTAGGGAATACTAGCATGCTGCATAATCATTACAGCAACTGCAGTTTTAAAATTGTCCAGCTAGCACCTGAGGCCCAACATTCAACCTAATTTTAGCCTGCAAGACAATTTTGTGACATAATTATGGAAATTTCTTAAATTAATTCTTAATTTAGAAGCCAGTTTTTTGCAATTCTTAAAAAAGGCTTCTCCAGTTAGATTGAATTTGAAGAATTTTTCACAATTCTGCACCATCTTCAATTGTGAGGCAGAATGGTCAGACAGACTAGGATTATGTGAATTTACATATATTTTGAGGTTAATGTTTTAGACATAAAATTTGACATATTATCACCCTATAAAGAATGAAGGACATTGCTGAATAAATCAAAATTAATCTGATGCTACATTGACTGAACTTGTTGGGATATCATGGATGCATGAAGCAACTGAATTAATTATATAATGTGACCTGTTATCTGTTACAAGGCAGCAATACACTAAGTTATCAATATCTTCTTTGTCTTGGAATGTACGTTAAAAGTGCATTGTAAAATCCTTAGGACCATATTATTAAATGCTCTTGACACGATTTAACAATGGAAAATAGATTTCTATTTCTATCATGTGAATTGAATAGAAGATAGCACAATTTGATTTGCCCAGGGGTAATATTGGAATTTATTATACTGAAGTGTCTTAGTCTATATAGGTTACTACAGTATGCATGCTGTCTAGAAATAATCCAAGTTAAAACAAATAGAAATATTCTTTTTGTTACAAAAGTTTTAACATGTATTTTTAATTATATTTTAGTAAATCAAGATGAATTCGTTGCTATCATGACTGGCGACATCTAAGCACCATTGTGAACAGTAGCTGCGGGAGCTCTGAACAATTCCTTGATGACATGGCTTCTTATTTACCCTTTTTGAAGCACTGGACAATTAGAGGAATATGGCATAGAAAGTTATAGGAGAAAGCAGTAAGAATTACTACTTAATACAGAAGTACTACTTAATACAATGACAGAACAACAGAAAAGTGACATTGTTTCAGAAAGACAACTTTGAACTAGTTTTACTATCTTTGCTACAAAACTGTTTTGTATTTTTCAAGTATATAATTACTTTGTACGTTGTTTTGAAATCCCATTAAAACATCACTTGTATTGTAAATTAGGTTATACTATACCTCAGTATGAAAATATTATAAAATTATGAGACCAGTCCCATTGATTTTTTTAAGGGGTAGAGGTAAGAAGACAATGATTTTACAAGATACAGTACATTTTCATATTATTACAAATGATGCATTTTTCATACAAAGGTAGTTTTAATTCTTTTGTTAAGTGAATTCTCTAGAACTTTAGAACTCACTGATGTTAACTCTACTGCTAACAGTTTGCTTAAGAGCTGGAGACAGCTGTAAACCTCAGGGACTATACACAGAAGCAAACATGAAGTGTTTTATGTCTGACTGGGAGTCATAAACCTCAACCAGCTAATATAGTTCATAATTTTCTTGCTGTACAACCTACGTGTTTTGCAAAGGGAGGTAGGGAGCTTTGGCTTTTTTGAGTAAGCCTCTTTGCAGACTATGGAATGACTAAGATACCAGCAATTAGTGAGTACAATGTGTCGTGTTTATCATTTTGTGGTGAAGCAGAAATTTTTTATGTGATCATTACATTCATGATCTGATTTTTAACAAAAAGTAGACCAGCCCTAGACTATATAGAGGTCTGTCTAATGCTGCAGTGGATTCTTATGTTGTGGGCAGTCTGTATGATTAGGGTCCTTTCGCATCTCTATTAATGGTATCTTCCAGAGGAACTTTATTAACAATGTATTTTCCCCCTTCCAATGGCATAGGGATCATCTGACAGTTAATGTGTTGGATTTTGTTGACCTTGGTGATTGCTGCAGTGGATTCTTATGTTGTGGTGTTAATTGTTTCTTTTTTGTTCATATCCTTAGAATACTTTGGTTTCTCAAAGAGAGAGGCATGATCCCCTAGCCCAATTTAAAAGGCAGGAAAGGGATGATAAATAAAAACTTTCTGCCAAAAAATATTTCCTCTAACCTCCCCATAACAATTCATTTGACAATTCTGACTTTATGTCCCTTGTCGACAATTCACCACCCAGTAGAAATAATCTTTTTATAATAATCATCTCATTTGATATCTTGCTTTATGTCGAAATCACTCCCACCCTCGCTCGCCTCCACTGGCTCCCCATCCCCCAGAGGATTGATTTCAAGATCCTCATCCTCACCTACAAGGCCATTCACGGCCTTGCTCCCTCCTACCTCTCCAACCTACTATCCCCCTACCTACCTGCCCGTACCCTCCGTTCCTCCGGCTCCGGTCTGCTCCACGTCCCCCGCCCCAACCGCCCTACCATCGGTGGTCGGGCCTTCAGCCCCGAGGCTCTGGAACTCTATCCCCCAGTGCCTTCGCCTTGCTTCCTCCCTCTTCTCCTTCAAGGCCAGTCTCAAAACCTTTCTCTTTGACCGAGCCTTCAGCTCCCCTCTCGACTCTCTTCCCCCTTCTCGCTCCCTCCCATCCCTCCCCTCACCCTGACCATTTCCCCCCTCCTCGCTCCCTCCCCTCTCCTGACCATTTCCCCCCTGCTCGGGTCATGACCCAACTGTGCAGCGCCTTGGGACGTCCTCCTGACGTGAAAGGCGCTTTATAAATGGAATCTTGTTGTTGTTGTTGTTGTTGAAATGCATCAAAGCTCTTAACAACATTCACTCCAGTGTAGTGAATATTTGTAGGCGGACATTGCAGCCAATCTGCACACAGCAGTGTCTCACAAACAAGCCTTGAAATGAATGAACCAATTTTATTTGCAGTATGTTGGCCAAGACACCAGGAGAAAATCTTTTCTCATTTAAAATCATACCATAGGATCTTTCCTGAGCAGGCAGACAGGACCTCAGGTTAACGTCTCATCTGAAGCACAGCACCACTGACAACATTGCGTAGCCTCAGCAATGCACTGATGATTAGGAGCTCAAAGACTGATAAGATTATGTGCTTAAGGTTCCGACGATTACAATTTATCCTTTCAAAGTTTCTAACAATTTTGAATACCTCTATCGTATCGTGTAGTTCTGTAGCTCAGTCGTCAGAGCGCTCGCCTCACATGCAAGAGACCTGGGTTCGATTCCCAGCAGATTCAGGACAAAACTTTGGGCAAGTTTCCTTACTCCACACACCTGATAATAATCCCTCAAGAAAAAAACAATAATAATTTGGTCACTTCAATCCAAGACTGTTTGTTGGACACTGCTGTGCACAATTTGCTGCCGCGTTTCGCCCACAAAAATGCAGTCAATTCACTTTACAGTATATTCTGTGAAGCGCTTTGAGACGTCGAGAAGATGTGAAAATCGCTATATCAAATTCAAGGATTATTATTATCCCATATTAACATTCTACAGTAAACTCCGGATAATCCGTCACTCCAAGGGAGAAGGGCTCAATGAGGGCTTGTTATGTGGAGGGATGTGTTAGGCATAAGATCTCCTGAGCCACAAGGGGACACTGACTGGCTTGGCAGAGGTTGGGTGCACATGCTCAGATGCATCCCAGACGCCTCTGGTCTATCACAGGGGAAGGCGGGGGCCTCACCGCAGCCCTCCACTAGACCAGAGGCTTCTGCGATGCATGTAAGTGTTCTCCCAACCTCTGTCAAGTGCCCGCACATGTCACGGGATAGTGCGGGAGGCCTCTGAGATGCAAGACACCATCTTATAGCACAAGTTATCCAATCAAGTTGACATTATGAGTACAGTAGAAGCCCGGTTTGCGGTCACCTCAGTAATCCAGACACCTCACAATTGTGGGCACATTTTCAGTCTCTTTCATTGTCAATGTTAAAAGATAGGCTGTCGGCTTCAGTAAACCGGGCACCTCACTATTCAGGACAACGGTCATTGACTGCGGCCGCTACAGCACCATCCTCCGCTTCAAACGCGGTACAAACACCCCCCTCCATTACTAACCTGTACAGTACACAGTGCGCTAGGCCTCGGGCTTCTTGCCCTGTTTCCTCGACGCTGCTGCTGTGGGCAGAGTGAGCTCCGGGTTGGGCATGTGCAGCGCAGGGAGTGTTGGGATAGCGGAAGCAGCGCGAGTGGCAAGTTGACTTCGCCCGGCGCCTGCAGCCTAACCTGAGCTCCTGCGGCCAATTCTTGGTAAGTGCTGTAAATGTGCCACATGGAAAGAGTTGTCCTTACATGAGATTGTGGACTTAATCAAACACAGTAAGGGCAAAAGTCATAGACAGTTAGCTGTGAGCTATGGCATTGGCAGAACACAAGTTGGATGCATTCTCAAAAGGAAGGCTGAATTCTCAAAAGGAAGGCAGAATACATGACAGCTTTTGTTTTAAGTGTGACAATGCCTTTATTTTAATGAGATTGTAAACTAAGGTTGTTGAATGTTCATCACCTTCGCCCATTACCAATGCCCTTAACATTACATCAGTGACCTGAAACACCCGACCTGTTTCAATAATCAGGTCACCTCAATAAGTAGGTCACTTTTACCCAGTCACTTGAGTGACTGGATTGGTGAGGTTCTACAAGAATTTCCAGAATCCAATGAGTTTCGTGCTAAGCTGGGTAACAAGTAATATTAATGTTTTGCATAGGCCAGGATATTGACAGCACGTCTATTAAAGTGGCTGTGACAAGTTAGCTCAAGGTCGAATTATCCAGAGTTTACTGTACTTTCGAAAATTTACTATTACTGTGGAAATGGCACTGACTTTTCAAGCCTATCACATGTTTAAGCCATCAACCCCAGGAACCAAAAACATAGATTGTAACCCACTAAGACTTCAATGTCCATTTAATAATGGGGCATCTGGAATTACATGTGGTACTCAATTGCCGCTTACCGAACAATTTCAAATAAATTCACTCTCTTGCTGTATATCCTAGTTATCCTATACCTACGGTTCAACTGATCTTAGTGTATTTGCTGAAGCTTTAAATGTCATCTTTAAAATAACATCACAACGGTTGCAGATGATATAGCTGAGCAAATGGCGGGCGGAGATGTGTTCAGCACATAGAGGTCTAGCAGTGGGAAGTACAAAGCGGGAGAGAATTCATGAATTCTAAATGTTTCCAAGAGAGCTAGAGGGCTGACTGCACCATTGTTTCCTTTAAACCAAATTGCAACAATACAAAAATAGCTTTTTGATTGCTATCACCAGGTGGCACTCTTTCTCCAGTTTTCAAAAGGATGTGAACAATTTTGACTGATAATTAAGTCACAGTTAATACTGATCCTATTACATCTTTATTTATCATTTGACTGCAGGAAAATATCATATAATGCAAAGCGGCATTTTGAAAATGTCAGAGGTCACAATGTGCCAGGGCAAAAGGCATGTTGAGTCAGAAAACTTGCCCAAGGTTTCACCCGGCTGGGAATCAAACCCAGGTTTCTCGCTTGCGAGGCAAGTGCTCTAACCACTAAGCTACTGATCATTAGTAGTAATGATTACTAATTATTACAAATGATTTCAACACTGAGTTGTGGTCTAACTCCCTACAAATTATCTATTGTTAAAACATTTTTTAATGTGAAAATGGTGGTTTGTAACACAGTATTATAACTGCAGTCAGTTGTAAGAGCAACTTGAGTAAACTGGGGAGCGGAAGAATATATAATGTAGTTTCTAGTGTGTCTGAGTTTTTTTCTCCATTAATATCAGACTAACTCAAAGCCTTTTACTTCTTGAGAAAATGTGCAAGTATGAAAATAGCTTCAAGCCAAAGGTTTATCTCAGGATTTCATAAGTGTGGTCTGGGAACTGTGGAACTATTTTTCTGTTTCCACATTTGTGAATCTATAAGAGAAAATGTGAAATTAATGACTATTGTCACAGGAAGCAGTGAGACATGAGAGATATCTAACCAACCTTACTTGAGATTGCAGTGCTTCCCTTGACATAACTTATTTAACATCACGTAAATGGGACATAATGGATTTAAAGCTTTTTTGGTGGAAGTACTGTACTCACGTACGAATGGCTTTCTTGTGTTTTGTGCTGCAGCTTGGAATAAAGAGCTATAAATTAATTCACATAATAATAATAATAATCCTTGCATTTGATATAGCGCTTTTCACGTCGGGAGGACGTCCCAAAGCACTTCACAGAACACACACTGTAAAGTGAATTGACTGTATA